GTTTCCACCGTGTATTAACTCTGGGGTGTTTCCACCGTGGTGTTTCCACCGTGTATTAACTCTGGGGTGTTTCCACCGTGGTGTTTCCACCGTGTATTAACTCTGGGGTGTTTCCACCGTGTATTAACTCTGGGGTGTTTCCACCGTGTATTAACTCTGGGGTGTTTCCACCGTGTATTAACTCTGGGTGTGTTTCCACCGTGTATTAACTCTGGGGGTGTTTCCACCGTGTATTAACTCTGGGGGTGTTTCCACCGTGTATTAACTCTGGGGTGTTTCCACCGTGTATTAACTCTGGGGGTGTTTCCACCGTGTATTAACTCTGGGGGTGTTTCCACCGTGTATTAACTCTGGGGTGTTTCCACCGTGTATTAACTCTGGGGTGTTTCCACCGTGTATTAACTCTGGGGTGTTTCCACCGTGTATTAACTCTGGGGGGTGTTTCCACCGTGTATTAACTCTGGGGTGTTTCCACCGTGTATTAACTCTGAGGGTGTTTCCACCGTGTATTAACTCTGGGGTGTTTCCACCGTGTATTAACTCTGGGGGTGTTTCCACCGTGTATTAACTCTGGGGGTGTTTCCACCGTGTATTAACTCTGGGGTGTTTCCACCGTGTATTAACTCTGGGGGTGTTTCCACCGTGTATTAACTCTGGGGGTGTTTCCACCGTGTATTAACTCTGGGGGTGTTTCCACCGTGTATTAACTCTGGGGGTGTTTCCACCGTGTATTAACTCTGGGGGTGTTTCCACCGTGTATTAACTCTGGGGGTGTGAAGACACACAATCAAGACATCTTTGTTTTGGATTTGTTATTCATTTAGAAAATGTTCTATACCTTTTCTTTCACTTTGAAAATGTGAAGCAAGTTGTGTAAAGCTGTAAAGGGTTGTGTAGACTTTCCCTAGGCACTGTATATTAACTTTACATTTCTGAAAGACTGCACAGCCAGTGAGTTACCCTTTACCCAGTTAAAGTTCTCTTCGCTACGAGGCCCCAGTCTAAAACGAGGGAAGTGCGATTCCCTGTTGGAGTTGGCCCAAGTACTGACGCTGAGAGACACAGTGTCCCTTCAGAATATGCTGCCACTGCAAGTCATGTTCTCCATTTAAATGAACATTACTCTCTTAACACATCTTTCCCCCTCACCACTGTTCCTTTCCAGAGATGAAGTCCAAGGAGCCCAAGTCCACTCTGAGAAGGACCTTCAGGATGGAGAACACTGGTCTGCTCCCGTTCTATATGCGCTCTGCAGAGATCAACGGCCAGCCCTGCCAAGGATACGGATTCAAAGTTCTCAACTGTCAACAGTTTGCACTTAAACCAAATGCTTCTAAAGACCTAGTTATACTGTAAGTTTAAAGATCACAGCAACTGTTTAGTAGCTTTGCATACTCACATAACAGAGTCACTGACTGATAAGACACTCTACAGTGTCCATCAGATGGATGGGCTTATCAGTCCTTCTATGGTGCAGAAATGGATTCCTGTAAATGGCTGTAATAGCCTCTAATGCAGATGAATCGCATTCATTTGATAGTGTCTTATAATGTGAAATATAGCTGAGGAGAGGGGCTCTAGTCTACTGAACTGAGAGGAGGCCTCTAGTCTACTGAACTGAGAGGAACTCTAGTCTACTGAACTGAGAGGAGCTCTAGTCTACTGAACTGAGAGGAGCTCTAGTCATCTGACTGAATGAGGGAATCTCTAGTCTACTGAACTGAGAGGAGCTCTAGTCTACTGAACTGAGAGGAGCTCTAGTCTACTGAACTGAGAGGAACTATAGTCTACTGAACTGAGAGGAGCTCTAGTCTACTGAACTGAGAGGAGCTCTAGTCTACTGAACTGAGAGGAGCTCTAGTCTACTGAACTGAGAGGAACTCTAGTCTACTGAACTGAGAGGAGCTCTAGTCTACTGAACTGAGAGGAGCTCTAGTTACTGAACTGGAGGCGGTGGTCAAACCTGAACTGGGGGGGGGCCCTCACCCCTACTGAACTGGAGGACCTATTCTACTAAACTGAAGGACCCTCTAGTCCAGAAACTGAGAGGAACTATAGTCATTTAACTGAGGGGAGCTCTGCTACTAAACCTGAGGGGAACTATACCCTACTGAAACTGAGAGGGGCTTTTTTTTCCTATTTAACTGAAGGACTTTAGCCCTACGAACTGAGAGGAACTATAGTCCTACGAACGGGAGGGGAAACCCTATAGTCTACTAAAACTGAGGGGGGTTCTAGCCCAAACTAAAACGGGAGAGGGGCTCTAGTCTACTAAACTGAGGGGAAAACTCTATCACTGACTGAGGGGAACATAGTCTACTAAACTGAGGGGGGCTCTAGCTACTGAACGAGAGGAGCTCTAGTCTACTGAACGAGGGGAGCTCTAGTTACTAAACCTGGGGGGGGGAAATATAGCCCTCTGAACTAAAGGAAACTATAGTCAAACGAACTAAAGGGGGGGCTCTATCTACTAAACCCTGAGAAGCTCAAAGTCAAACGAACTGAGAGGAGCTCTGGGTCTACGAACTAAAGGGAACCTCTAGTCAAACTAAACTGAGAGGAACTAAAATCTACTGAACTGGAGGAATATAGTCTACTAAAACTAGAGGGGCTCAAATTCTACTGGGGGAAAAAGAGGAGTCTAGTCTACTGAACTGGAGGACTATAGCAAACTGAACTGAGGGGAACTATATTCTACTAAACGGGAAGACTCTAGTCTACTAAACTGAGGGGAGCTCTAGTCTACTGAACTGGGGGAAACCTCTAGTCTCCTGAACTGAGGGGAAACTATAGTCTACTAAACTGAGAAACCCAAATAGTCTACGGAACTGAAGGGGCTCTAGTCTACTGAATTTTGAGAGGGCTCTAGTCAACTAAAATTTGATGGAGCTCTGCCCTAATTTAACTAAAGAGGGGCTCTATTCTACAAACTGAAATGGGTAAACAGAAAAAGGGGGGGCCCTTTTTCCCAAACCAGCCATGGAAAACACTAGCAGTCAAGGTGTTTTCTCTCCTCACCCCCTAAAAGCTATTTAAAAACAGGTCTTCAGCCACACGGTGGGGGGTTTTTTTTGTGTGTGTGTGTGTTTTGTTGGGGAAAATTATTTACAATCGGTGGGATTTGTGCTCCCTTTTCCCCTCTCTGTGCTGCTTGCAGTTCCTCTTCACCTCTCCCCTCAAAGCCTTTTAAAAAGAGACTAAACCCAATCAACCTCCCTGGCTCAGTAAAGTAGCTCCCAAAACATGGAGTTTTTTTGGTTTTGGGCCCCACTTAATTTGAAAAAACAAAATGCACCGGGGCCCATTTGGGTTTTGCTATAAAAAGGCTTTTAAATATCACAAGGGGCTTTTTAAATGTTTTCTGTTTTTTTATTAAAATTTTTTTTTTAAAACAAACCTTATTACCCAATTGTACCAAAAAAGGGCCCTTCTGGAAAAGGGATCTAGCTATTTCCCTTATTTACCCCCTTTTAAAAATTTTGAGAGTGTGTTTTTGGTGGTTAAAGATGTCCCCAAACCATTCTTTTATCTTTTGGGGCTTTTAACCATGCCATCTTTTTGTCCCCGGGCAGTATCACCCAAATGCCCTTTAAAGGGAAAGAACCCTGTGGTACAGTGTGGCGGGTTTTTCCTCTTTTAAACCCCCGGTCATTTTAACCTGTATTTTGTGTATGGGGGGGCCCCTGTTCATGACTGACTCGTCCCCTTTCCCCTTCTGTCTTTTATCCCGGGTTTCCCACCCGGATTTCACAACCCCGTCCAGATGACCCGGGGAGCTGAAGCTATTTACGGGGGGGAGGGTCGATTTTTGTGTTTGCCCCTGAACGCCTCCCTCCCTATCAAAGTTTCCCTCCTGTACGAGGCCCTCCCCAGACCCTCCTGGGAGCTATACCTCATCGTCTCCTTCATCTGGGGTTTTTCAGTGAAACTCTCTCCTTCATCTTTAGGTATCCATGTACTATGTAACGACTCGCGTGGCGGGACAGGATGGCAATGGGGAAAGGGCCCCGTGTAGCTCATTTTGGAAAGAAAATTGGCTTTTTAAACCCAGGGTTGTGGGTTTCATTCCCCGGGGGCCAGTGGGGAAAAATGTATGCACTCACTAACTGTAAGCGCTCTGGATAAGAGCATCTGCTAATGACTAAAAGAAAAAATTAAATGAAAAACCATAAAAAAAGGGGGGTTTAACACACAGGGGTTTAAAAACCCAGGTTTGGGCCCCGGGAAAAACAGAGGTTTAAAAAACCAGGCTGGGCCTGGAACCCCGGCTTAAACCGGGCTAGGCTGGAAAAAGAGACTTAAAAAAGGCTGGGCCCGGGAAACCACAGGGGTTTTAAAACCCAGGCAAAGGCTGGAACCGGGAACTTAAACCGGCTAGGCTGGAACCCCAAGCTTAAACCGGGCCTAGGCGGGAAACACAGAGATTTAAAACCGGGGCTAGGCTGGAACAAAAGGGGTTTTTAAAAACCAGGCTAGGCTGGAACACGAGATTTAAAAAAACCCAGGTAGGCGGGAAAACACGGGGCCCTTAAACCAGGCTATTTTGGAACCAGAGGTTTAAAAACCAGCAGGCGGGAAAACCCAGAGGCTTAAACCACTGGCGGGAAAACACAAGGTTTAAACCACCCCTGGGCCCTTGGAACCCCGAGGTTTAAAAACCAGGCTAGGCTGGAACACAGAGGCTTAAACCGGGCTGGGGCTGGAACAAAGGTTTAAAACCGGCTGGCGGGAAACCCAGGGGGGTTTAAAACCCCAGACTAGGCTGGAACACAGAGGTTTAAACCAGGCTAGGCTGGAACTCAGAGGCTTAAACTAGGCTAGGCTGGAACATTGATTCACAGAAAGGACAATCAAAACACTCCCACACACAGGTGATAAACTTAACTTAGGCTGAACTTAACTTAGAAGACTAAATAGCTGGGCTGCTATCCAGCTTACAAGCCGACTTTTCTGCAGTCATAAGTCAATGTCCGTGAGCCTCCACCAAATGTCCGGTGCGCTCAGCCTCCAGCCAGTAGCTTCACCTGTGCTGACGAAAACAGCACCTTGTGGTTATAAACGAGGCCCCAGGTGTGTTGCGGCTTCATGTGCAGGGCATGGCTCTGCAGCCTAGCTTGCTGCAGCCTAGAAATGCTGGTTGTGGGGCGTGACTGACGCTCCAAACAATGGCAGTCCCCCGGTCACCACCGAGGGCACCACAACTGTATGTACAGTGCATTCGGAAAGTATTCAGACCCCTTGACATGTATAACCCAGACCCAATTGGGAGCTCATTATGAGGTATACATATTTATATATACAGTACCACTGACAAGTTTAGACACTCATTCAAGGGTTTTTCTTTATTTTTACTATTTTCTACATTGTAGAATAATAGTGAAGACATCAAAACTATGAAATAAGGGATATAGCTCAGTTGGTAGAGCATGGCGTTTGCAACGCCAGGGTTGTGGGTTCGATTTTGCTTATTTGAGCTGTTCTTGCCATAATATGGACTTAGCCCTATTTGGTAAAAGACCATCTTCTGTATACCACCCCTACCTTGTCACAACACAACTGATTGGCTCAAACGCATTAAGAAGGAAAGAAGTGCATTCCAGGTGACTACTTCATGAAGCTGGTTGAGAGAATGCCAAGAGTGTGCAAAGCTGTCATCAAGGCAAAGGGTGGCTACTTTGAAGAATCTCAAATATAAACTATATTTTGATTTGTTTAACACTTTTCTTTGGTTACTACATGATTCCATATGTGTTATTTTATAGTTTTGATGTCTTCACTATTATAAAAAAAAAAATCTGAATGAGAATTATTTAGAAAAACCCTTGAATGAGTATGTTTGTCCAAACGTTTGACTGGTAGTGTATATGCATGTATAACTCAGACTCCGTTGGAAGCTGGAGCTAATCTTCTCCCTCATCATGAGATATACATAAACTCAGCAAAAAAAGAAACGTCCTCTCACTGTCAACTGTGTTTATTTTCAGCAAACTTAACATGTTTAAATATTTGTATGAACATAACAAGATTCAACAACTGAGACATAAACTGAACAAGTTCCACAGACATGTGACTAACAGAAATTGAATAATGTGTCCCTGAACAAAGGGGGGGTCAAGATCAAAAGTAACGGTCAGTATCTGGTGTGGCCACCAGCTGCATTAAGTACTGCAGTGCATCTCCTCCTCATGGACTGCACCAGATTTGCCAGTTCTTGTTGTGAGATGTTACCCCACTCTTCCACCAAGGCACCTGCAAGTTCCCTGACATTTCTGGGGGGAATGGCCCTAGCCCTCACCCTCCGATCCAACAGGTCCCAGACGTGCTCAATGGGATTGAGATCCGGGCTCTTCGCTGGCCATGGCAGAACACTGACATTCCTGTCTTGCAGGAAATCACGCACAGAACGAGCAGTATGGCTGGTGGCATTGTCATGCTGGAGGGTCATGTCAGGATGAGCCTGCAGGAAGGGTACCACATGAGGGAGGAGGATGTCTTCCCTGTAACGCACAGCGTTGAGATTGCCTGCAATGACAACAAGCTCAGTCCGATGATGCTGTGACACACCGCCCCAGACCATGACGGACCCTCCACCTCCAAATCGATCCCGCTCCAGAGTACAGGCCTCGGTGTAACGCTCATTCCTTCGACGATAAACACGAATCCGACCATCACCCCTGGTGAGACAAAACCGCGACTCGTCAGTGAAGAGCACTTTTTGCCAGTCCTGTCTGGTCCAGCGACGGTGGGTTTGTGCCCATAGGCGACGTTGTTGCGGGTGATGTCTGGTGAGGACCTGCCTTACAACAGGCCTACAAGCCCTCAGTCCAGCCTCTCTCAGCCTATTGGGGACAGTCTGAGCACTGATGGAGGGATTGTGCGTTCCTGGTGTAACTCGGGCAGTTGTTGTTGCCATCCTGTACCTGTCCCGCAGGTGTGACGTTTGGGATGTACCGATCCTGTGCAGGTGTTGTTACACGTGGTCTGTCACTGCGAGGTGGGAACTGGATCTAATCCCTCATTATGAGGTATACACAATACATAGTAGCTGCAGCAGTATTTTCAAATATAAGCACATTTTCAAATAGCCTGGTCCCAGATCTTTTTGTGCTGTATAACCAACTCCTATCGTGGTTGGCACAAACAGATCTGTGGCCAGGCTTTTCAACCACATCATTGTGTTTATATCAGATGATAATTTACTAGCTTCTCTCTCCTCTGTAGCTCCCTGTTAACATGGCTCTCCTCTCTCCTCTGTAGCTCCCTGTTAACATGGCTCTCCTCTCTCCTCTGTAGCTCCCTGTTAACATGGCTCTCCTCTGTAACTCCCTGTTAACATGGCTCTTCTCTCTCCTCTGTAGCTCCCTGTTAACATGGCTCTCCTCTCTCCTCTGTAGCTCCCTGTTAACATGGCTCTCCTCTCTCCTCTGTAGCTCCCTGTTAACATGGCTCTCCTCTCTCCTCTGTAGCTCCCTGTTAACATGGCTCTCCTCTCTCCTCTGTAGCTCCCTGTTAACATGGCTCTCCTCTCTCCTCTGTAGCTCCCTGTTAACATGGCTCTCCTCTCTCCTCTGTAGCTCCTTGTTAACATGGCTCTCCTCTCTCCTCTGTAGCTCCCTGTTAACATGGCTCTCCTCTCTCCTCTGTAGCTCCCTGTTAACATGGCTCTCCTCTCTCCTCTGTAGCTCCATGTTAACATGGCTCTCCTCTCTCCTCTGTAGCTCCCTGTTAACATGGCTCTCCTCTGTAGCTCCCTGTTAACATGGCTCTCCTCTGTAGCTCCCTGTTAACATGGCTCTCCTCTCTCCTCTGTAGCTCCCTGTTAACATGGCTCTCCTCTCTCCTCTGTAGCTCCCTGTTAACATGGCTCTCCTCTCTCCTCTGTAGCTCCCTGTTAACATGGCTCTCCTCTCTCCTCTGTAGCTCCTTGTTAACATGGCTCTCCTCTCTCCTCTGTAGCTCCCTGTTAACATGGCTCTCCTCTCTCCTCTGTAGCTCCCTGTTAACATGGCTCTCCTCTCTCCTCTGTAGCTCCCTGTTAACATGGCTCTCCTCTCTCCTCTGTAGCTCCATGTTAACATGGCTCTCCTCTGTAGCTCCCTGTTAACATGGCTCTCCTCTCTCCTCTGTAGCTCCCTGTTAACATGGCTCTCCTCTCTCCTCTGTAGCTCCCTGTTAACATGGCTCTCCTCTGTAGCTCCCTGTTAACATGGCTCTCCTCTCTCCTCTGTAGCTCCATGTTAACATGGCTCTCCTCTCTCCTCTGTAGCTCCCTGTTAACATGGCTCTCCTCTCTCCTCTGTAGCTCCATGTTAACATGGTTCTCCTCTCTCCTCTGTAGCTCCCTGTTAACATGGCTCTCCTCTCTCCTCTGTAGCTCCCTGTTAACATGGCTCTCCTCTCTCCTCTGTAGCTCCCTGTTAACATGGCTCTCCTCTCTCCTCTGTAGCTCCCTGTTAACATGGCTCTCCTCTCTCCTCCATAGCTCCCTGTTAACATGGCTCTCCTCTCTCCTCTGTAACTCCCTGTTAACATGGCTCTCCTCTCTCCTCTGTAACTCCATGTTAACATGGCTCTCCTCTCCTCTGTAGCTCCATGTTAACATGGCTCTCCTCTCTCCTCTGTAGCTCCCTGTTAACATGGCTCTCCTCTCTCCTCTGTAGCTCCATGTTAACATGGCTCTCCTCTCTCCTCTGTAGCTCCCTGTTAACATGGCTCTCCTCTCTCCTCTGTAGCTCCCTGTTAACATGGCTCTCCTCTCTCCTCTGTAGCTCCCTGTTAACATGGCTCTCCTCTGTAGCTCCCTGTTAACATGGCTCTCCTCTCTCCTCTGTAGCTCCCTGTTAACATGGCTCTCCTCTCTCCTCTGTAGCTCCATGTTAACATGGCTCTCCTCTCTCCTCTGTAGCTCCCTGTTAACATGGCTCTCCTCTCTCCTCTGTAGCTCCCTGTTAACATGGCTCTCCTCTGTAGCTCCCTGTTAACATGGCTCTCCTCTCTCCTCTGTAACTCCCTGTTAACATGGCTCTCCTCCTCCATAGCTCCCTGTTAACATGGCTCTCCTCTCTCCTCTGTAGCTCCCTGTTAACATGGCTCTCCTCTCTCCTCTGTAGCTCCCTGTTAACATGGCTCTTCTCTCTCCTCTGTAGCTCCCTGTTAACATGGCTCTCCTCTCTCCTCTGTAGCTCCCTGTTAACATGGCTCTCCTCTCTCCTCTGTAGCTCCCTGTTAACATGGCTGTCCTCTGTAGCTCCCTGTTAACATGGCTCTCCTCTCTCCTCTGTAGCTCCCTGTTAACATGGCTCTCCTCTCTCCTCTGTAGCTCCCTGTTAACATGGCTCTCCTCTCTCCTCTGTAGCTCCCTGTTAACATGGCTCTCCTCTCTCCTCTGTAGCTCCCTGTTAACATGGCTCTCCTCTCTCCTCTGTAGCTCCCTGTTAACATGGCTCTCCTCTCTCCTCCATAGCTCCCTGTTAACATGGCTCTCCTCTCTCCTCTGTAGCTCCCTGTTAACATGGCTCTCCTCTCTCCTCTGTAGCTCCCTGTTAACATGGCTCTCCTCTGTAGCTCCCTGTTAACATGGCTCTCCTCTCTCCTCTGTAGCTCCCTGTTAACATGGCTCTCCTCTGTAGCTCCCTGTTAACATGGCTCTCCTCTCTCCTCTGTAGCTCCCTGTTAACATGGCTCTCCTCTCTCCTCTGTAGCTCCCTGTTAACATGGCTCTCCTCTCTCCTCTGTAGCTCCCTGTTAACATGGCTCTCCTCTCTCCTCTGTAGCTCCCTGTTAACATGGCTCTCCTCTCTCCTCTGTAGCTCCCTGTTAACATGGCTCTACTCCTCCATAGCTCCCTGTTAACATGGCTCTCCTCTCTCCTCTGTAGCTCCCTGTTAACATGGCTCTCCTCTCTCCTCTGTAGCTCCCTGTTAACATGGCTCTCCTCTCTCCTCTGTAGCTCCCTGTTAACATGGCTCTCCTCTCTCCTCTGTAGCTCCCTGTTAACATGGCTCTCCTCTCTCCTCTGTAGCTCCCTGTTAACATGGCTCTCCTCTCTCCTCTGTAGCTCCCTGTTAACATGGCTCTCCTCCTCCATAGCTCCCTGTTAACATGGCTCTCCTCTCTCCTCTGTAGCTCCCTGTTAACATGGCTCTCCTCTCTCCTCTGTAACTCCCTGTTAACATGGCTCTCCTCTCTCCTCTGTAGCTCCCTGTTAACATGGCTCTCCTCTCTCCTCTGTAGCTCCCTGTTAACATGGCTCTCCTCTCTCCTCTGTAGCTCCATGTTAACATGGCTCTCCTCTCTCCTCTGTAGCTCCCTGTTAACATGGCTCTTCTCTCTCCTCTGTAGCTCCCTGTTAACATGGCTCTCCTCTCTCCTCTGTAGCTCCATGTTAACATGGCTCTCCTCTCTCCTCTGTAGCTCCCTGTTCCTGCTGGTGATTGCTAAAGCCTACCTGGAAGCCCAGGGGATCTGGGAGCCCTTTAAGAGAAGTCTGTCTCTGGACTCTGCCATGGAGACGGGCAGACCCTTCCACCTCAGGGAAATAGTATTCATTTCAAGTGATGCTAAGTAAGTCCGACTACCTCTTTTGTTATGGATGTATTTGTTTGTCATTAAAGTGTCTTGCATCAAAGATAGCCCACCCATATGGATGTATATAATGGTCCTCTTGTGGAGAGTAGTATCTTTTTCAGAGAACTGTTACATCTTCTAAAAATGTGATGTCCCCACTATTCTTTGTCCTTTAGCTTGAATGATTTCACTGACACCCACCAGAAATCGACCAGGGGGATGTATGGGTCTGGTAGTGGGGTGTCCCGGGCCGGGGGCCAGAACAGCAGGTCCTCCATGGACCTTGATAGACAGAGAGCCAGGATGGGCTTCGGTCGATCAACTATACAAGCCTCCTCCACTTCCTCCTCCTCTTCCTCCCAGCTAGCCAATGGCGCCCCGGTTTCCTGTCAGCTGACCAATCGGAAGGCGCGGAGCTCCAAGGGGCAGCAGGGTGGAGGACGCCTGGACCTCCAGGACGGGGGCCCTGGGTCAGGGTCGTCTCTGCCCCACAGAAGGCTCTGTTCTGGGGGAGAGGACCCAGACTACGCCAGCCTCCTGGGGGCCATGGATAATGACCTAGACAGACCTGAATCACCTCTACAAGCTCTACAGGATCACAACGGATCTCCGTCTACACAGAACAATGGTAGCATTACTCCTCAGTCTACACAGAACAATGGTAGCATTACTCCTCCGTCTACACAGAACAATGGTAGCATTACTCCTCAGTCTACACAGAACAATGGTAGCATTACTCCTCAGTCTACACAGAACAATGGTAGCATTACTCCTCCGTCTACACAGAACAATGGTAGCATTACTCCTCCGTCTACACAGAACAATGGTAGCATTACTCCTCAGTCTACACAGAACAATGGTAGCATTACTCCTCAGTCTACACAGAACAATGGTAGCATTACTCCTCAGTCTACACAGAACAATGGTAGCATTACTCCTCAGTCTACACAGAACAATGGTAGCATTACTCCTCAGTCTACACAGAACAATGGTAGCATTACTCCTCAGTCTACACAGAACAATGGTAGCATTACTCCTCAGTCTACACAGAACAATGGTAGCATTACTCCTCCGTCTACACAGAACAATGGTAGCATTACTCCTCCGTCTACACAGAACAATGGTAGCATTACTCCTCCGTCTACACAGACAAATGGTAGCATTACTCCCCAGTCTACACAGAACAATGGTAGCATTACTCCTCCAGTCTACACAGAACAATGGTAGCATTAACTCCTCCGTCTACACAGAACAATGGTAGCATTACTCCTCCGTCTACACAGAACAATGGTAGCATTACTCCTCAGTCTACACAGAACAATGGGTAGCATACTCCTCCAGTCTACACAGAACAATGGTAGCATTACTCCTCCAGTCTACACAGAACAATGGTAGCATTACTCCTCAGTCTACACAGAACAATGGTAGCATTACTCCTCCGTCTACACAGAACAATGGTAGCATTACTCCTCAGTCTACACAGAACAATGGTAGCATTACTCCTCAGTCTACACAGAACAATGGTAGCATTACTCCTCAGTCTACACAGAACAATGGTAGCATTACTCCTCCGTCTACCAAAATGGTTACATTACTCAGTCTACACAGAACAATGGTAGCATTACTCCTCCGTCTACACAGAACAATGGTAGCATTACTCCTCCGTCTACACAGAACAATGGGTAGCCATTACTCCTCCGTCTACACAGAACAATGGTAGCATTACTCCTCAGTCTACACAGAACAATGGTAGCATTACTCCTCGTCTACACAGAACAATGGTAGCATTACTCCTCAGTCTACACAGAACAATGGTACATTACTCCTCCCCCCCGTCTACACAGAACAATGGTAGCATTACTCCTCAGTCTACACAGAACAATGGTAGCATTACTCCCCGTCTACACAGAACAATGGTAGCATTACTCCTCAGTCTACACAGAACAATGGTAGCATTACTCCCCCGTCTACACAAACAATGGTAGCATTACTCCTCCGTCTACACAGAACAATGGTAGCATTACTCCTCAGTCTACACAGAACAATGGTAGCATTACTCCTCAGTCTACACAGAACAATGGTAGCATTACTCCTCAGTCTACACAGAACAATGGTAGCATTACTCCTCAGTCTACACAGAACAATGGTAGCATTACTCCTCAGTCTACACAGAACAATGGTAGCATTACTCCTCCGTCTACACAGAACAATGGTAGCATTACTCCTCAGTCTACACAGAACAATGGTAGCATTACTCCTCAGTCTACACAGAACAATGGTAGCATTACTCCTCAGTCTACACAGAACAATGGTAGCATTACTCCTCAGTCTACACAGAACAATGGTAGCATTACTCCTCAGTCTACACAGAACAATGGTAGCATTACTCCTCCGTCTACACAGAACAATGGTAGCATTACTCCTCCGTCTACACAGAACAATGGTAGCATTACTCCCCGTCTACACAGAACAATGGTAGCATTACTCCTCAGTCTACACAGAACAATGGTAGCATTACTCCTCAGTCTACACAGAACAATGGTAGCATTACTCCTCAGTCTACACTGAACAATGGTAGCATTACTCCTCCGTCTACACAGAACAATGGTAGCATTACTCCTCAGTCTACACAGAACAATGGTAGCATTACTCCTCAGTCTACACAGAACAATGGTAGCATTACTCCTCCGTCTACACAGAACAATGGTAGCATTACTCCTCCGTCTACACAGAACAATGGTAGCATTACTCCTCCGTCTACACAGAACAATGGTAGCATTACTCCTCCGTCCACACAGAACAATGGTAGCATTACTCCTCCGTCTACACAGAACAATGGTAGCATTACTCCTCCGTCTACACAGAACAATGGTAGCATTACTCCTCAGTCTACACAGAACAATGGTAGCATTACTCCTCCGTCTACACAGAACAATGGTAGCATTACTCCTCAGTCTACACAGAACAATGGTAGCATTACTCCTCAGTCTACACAGAACAATGGTAGCATTACTCCTCCGTCTACACAGAACAATGGTAGCATTACTCCTCAGTCTACACAGAACAATGGTAGCATTACTCCTCAGTCTACACAGAACAATGGTAGCATTACTCCTCAGTCTACACAGAACAATGGTAGCATTACTCCTCCGTCTACACAGAACAATGGTAGCATTACTCCTCGTCTACACAGAACAATGGTAGCATTACTCCTCCGTCTACACAGAACAATGGTAGCATTACTCCTCCGTCTACACAGAACAATGGTAGCATTACTCCTCCGTCTACACAGAACAATGGTAGCATTACTCCTCAGTTACACAGAACAATGGTAGCATTACTCCTCAGTCTACACAGAACAATGGTAGCATTACTCCTCCGTCTACACAGAACAATGGTAGCATTACTCCTCAGTCTACACAGAACAATGGTAGCATTACTCCTCAGTCTACACAGAACAATGGTAGCATTACTCCTCCGTCTACACAGAACAATGGTAGAATTACTCCTCAGTCTACACAGAACAATGGTAGCATTTTATTTCACACTAACTACACCCATGATGGATGGGGCTGTGCAGAGCAATATAAACAGTGCTTTGATTCTACACGTACAGTGTCTTCAGAAAGTTTTCACACCCCTTGACCTTTTCCACATTTTGTTGTGTTAAAGCCTGAATTTAAAATGGATTACATTTAGATTTTTTTACACATTTATAAAAAATGAAACACCAAAATGTCTTGAATCAATAAGTATCCAACCCCTTTGTTATGGCCTAAATACGTTCAGGAGTAAAAATGTGCTTAACAAGTCACATAATAAGTTGCATGGATTCACTCTGTGTGCAATAATAGTGTTTGATTGTAAGGTCCCTCAGTCGAGCAGTGCATTTTAAACACAGATTCAACCACAAAGACCAGGGAGGTTTTCAAGTGACTCACAAAGAAGGGCTCCTATTGGTAGATGGGTAAAAATAAAAAAAGCAGACATTGAATATCCCTTTGAGCATGGTGACGTTATTAATTACACTTTGGATGGTGTATCAATACACCCAGTCACTACAAAGATACAGGCGTCCTTCCTAACTCAGTTGTCGGAGAGGAAGGAAACCACTCAGGGATTTCACCATGAGGCCAATGGTGACTTTAAAACAGTTACAGAGTTTAATGGCTGTGAAAGGAGGAAATTGAGGATGGATCAACAACATTGTAGTTACTCCACAACACTAACCTAAATGACAGAGTGAAAAGAAGGAAGCCTGTACAGAATACAAATATTCCAAAACATGCATCCTGTTTGCAACAAGGCACTAAAGTAATACTGCAAAAAATGTGGCAAAGCAATTAACGTCTTGTCCTGAATACAAAGTGTTATGTTTGGGGCAAATCCAACACATTACTGAGTACCATTCTCCATATTTTCAAGCATAGTGGTGGCTGCATCATGTTATGGGTATGCTTGGAATCAATAAGAACTGGGGAGTTTTTCAGGCTAAAAAATAAAAGGAATGGAGCTAAGCTCAGGCAAAATCCTATAGGAAAACCTGGTTCAGTCTGCTTTCCACCAGACACTGGGAGATTAATTCACCTTTCAACAGGACAATAACCTAAAACACAAGGCCAAATATACACTGGAGTTGCTTACCAAGAAGACAGTGAATGTTCCTGAGAGGCCGAATTACAGTTTTGACTTAAATCTGCTTGAAAATCTATGGCAAGACCTGAAAATGGTTGCCTAGCAATGATCAACAACCAATTTGACAGAGCTTGAAGAATTTTGAAAAGAATAATGGGCAAATGTTGCACAATCCAGGTGTGGAAAGCTCTTAGAGACTTTCCCAGAAAGACTCACAGCTGTAATCACTGCCAAAGGTGCTTCTACAAAGTATTGACTCAGGGGTGTGAATACTTTAGTATACTGAACAAAAATATAAACGCAACATGCAACAACTTCAAATATTTTACTCAGTTAATTTAAATAAATAAATTATGCCCTCATCTATGGATTTCACATGACTGGGCAGGGTTGCAGCCATGGGTGGGCCTGGGAGGGCATAGGCCCACCCACTGGGGAGCCAGGCCCAGCCAATCAGAATGAGTTTCCCCCCCCCCCTCCTCAGCACGCTCCCGCAAAACTTGAGACATCTGTGGCATTGTGTTATGTGACAAAACTACACATTTTAGAGTGGCCTTTTATTGTCCCCAGCACAAGGTGCACCTGTGTAATGATCATGTTGTTTAATCAGCTTCTTGATATGCCACACCTGTCAGGTGGATGGATTATCTTGGCAAAGGAGAAATGCTCACTAACAGGGATGTAAACTAATTTGTGCACATTTGAGAGAAATACACATTTTGTGCGTATTTTAGGGGATTTTTTTTATTTTCAGCTCGTGAAACATGGGACCAACACTTTACATGTTCCGTTTATATTTTTGTATGAATTATATTCAGTATAAATGAGATATTTTTGTCATTATGGGGTATTGTGTGTGAAAACCAACAACATTTGATCCATTTTGAATTCAGGCGGTAACACAAGATGTGGAATAAGTGAAGTGGTATGAATCCTTTCTGGAGGCACCGTAGGACTCTCTGGGGCTGTGCAGAGCTGAATTGTTTGGAGTTGACTAGAGGTAGTGCACAAGCCCTTTGTAACCAACCATGCTTAGGCATATGTATTTGTGTTGTTCTGCAGTAGTTGTGACTGTAGTTGTGTATTTGTGTTGTCCTGCAGTAGTTGTGACTGTAGTTGTGACTGTAGTTGTGTATTTGTGGTGTCCTGCAGTAGTTGTGACTGTAGTTGTGTATTTGTGTTGTCCTGCAGTAGTTGTGACTGTAGTTGTGACTGTAGTTGTGTATTTGTGTTGTCCTGCAGTAGTTGTGACTGTAGTTGTGTATTTGTGGTGTCCTGCAGTAGTTGTGACTGTAGTTGTGACTTAGTTGTGTATTTGTGCCTGCAGTAGTTGTGACTGTAGTTGTGTATTTGTGTTGTCCTGCATTTAGTTGTGACTGTAGTTGTGTATTTGTGTTGTCCTGCAGTAGTTGTGACTGTAGTTGTGTATTTGTGTTGTCCTGCAGTAGTTGTGACTGTAGTTGTGTGTATTGTGTGTTGTCCTGCAGTAGTTGTGACGTAGTGTGATTTGTGTTGCAGTAGTTGAGTAGTTGTGTATTTGTGTGTCCTGCAGTAGTTGTGACTGTAGGTTGTGTTATATTGTGTTGTTCTGTCGCAGTAGTTGTGACTGTAGTTGTGACTGTAGTTGTGTATTTGTGGTGTCCTGCAGTAGTTGTGACTGTAGTTGTGTATTTGTGTTGTCCTGCAGTAGTTGTGACTGTAGTTGTGTATTTGTGGTGTCCTGCAGTAGTTGTGACTGTAGTTGTGACTGTAGTTGTGTATTTGTGTTGTCCTGCAGTAGTTGTGACTGTAGTTGTGTATTTGTGGTGTCCTGCAGTAGTTGTGACTGTAGTTGTGACTGTAGTTGTGTATTTGTGTTGTCCTGCAGTAGTTGTGACTGTAGTTGTGTATTTGTGTTGTCCTGCAGTAGTTGTGACTGTAGTTGTGTATTTGTGTTGTCCTGCAGTAGTTGTGACTGTAGTTGTGTATTTGTGTTGTCCTGCAGTAGTTGTGACTGTAGTTGTGACTGTAGTTGTGTATTTGTGGTTGTCCTGCAGTAGTTGTGACTGTAGTTGTGTATTTGTGTTGTCCTGCAGTAGTTGTGACTGTAGTTGTGTATTTGTGTTGTCCTGCAGTAGTTGTGACTGTAGTTGTGTATTTGTGTTGTCCTGCAGTAGTTGTGACTGTAGTTGTGACTGTAGTTGTGTATTTGTGGTGTCCTGCAGTAGTTGTGACTGTAGTTGTGTATATGTGTTGTCCTGCAGTAGTTGTGACTGTAGTTGTGTATATGTGTTGTCCTGCAGTAGTTGTGACTGTAGTTGTGTATTTGTGTTGTCCTGCAGTAGTTGTGACTGTAGTTGTGAGTTGTGGTGTCTGCAGTAGTTGTGACTGTAGTTGTGTATTTGTGGTGTCCTGCAGTAGTTGTGACTGTAGTTGTGGTATTTGTGTGTCCTGCAGTAGTTGTGACTGTAGTTGTGTATTTGTGTTGTCCTGCAGTAGTTGTGATATTGGACTGTAGTTGTGTATTTGTGTGTCCTGCAGTAGTTGTGACTGTAGTTGTGTATTTGTGTTGTCCTGCAGTAGTTGTGACTGTAGTTGTGTATATGTGTTGTCCTGCAGTAGTTGTGACTGTAGTTGTGTATTTGTGTGTCCTGCAGTAGTTGTGACTGTAGTTGTGTATTTGTGTTGTCCTGCAGTAGTTGTGACTGTAGTTGTGTATTTGTGTTGTCCTGCAGTAGTTGTGACTGTAGTTGTGTATTTGTGGTGTCCTGCAGTAGTTGTGACTGTAGTTGTGTATTTGTGTTGTCCTGCAGTAGTTGTGACTGTAGTTGTGTATTTGTGGTGTCCTGCAGTGCTGGACTCTAAAGGAAAGCAGCTGAGAGGTCAAACTAAAGCTCAGAGGAAGAGGGAGAAGGGACAGGAGAGCGAAGGGAAAACCACCTCCGGGAGACCAGCTGAACGATGACAGCTCATCTACCACCACAGAGACCTCCAACCCTGAGGTAGAAGCCAGCAACAAAGAGGTAGACCGAGAGAGACAGAGAGACGTGCACACACACAGCACACACAGACTCACTCACTCTTAGGAGTTGCAGACATAAGAGCACAGATAACAGGATCTACTGTGTGGACATCTACAGGCAGACGGGTGGTGTAGGGAGAATAAATGTCTTGTTCTTCTGTCTGTTTAGGAACCAGTGAAAAAGAAAGGCAGAACAGCAGTGGAAAAAGAGGAAACATCTTTCCTCACCAAACCCCAAAACAACAAGAAACAAACCAACACAGAGGATAAATCTAGTTCCCTGGAGCTTCCATACGCCACACCCCTGGAGAACAAACAACGCAAGACCTTCACATCCAAAGCCCTCATCCACCCTGCTCTCACCACTGGCCCTAGGACTCTGCAGAAACCCAGACCTGAGTCTCTCTCCCATCTCAACTCTTCTGACTGTTCTGGACTTGGTAATGGAGACCTGTTGTTATTTTTACGCTGGTGTTTTTTAAAAAAACTGCCTTCACTGTTTTGCTGCTCCTGAACGTGATCTTTAATGTTTTGGGAGAAACAGCAAAACCGTGAGGGATTCTCTTTTGTTCTTCATATTGGATCTTGTCTTTGTCCAACTGATCCTCTTACTATTGATGTGCATTAGACTCCCTCCGTTCATTAGACTCCCTCCGTTCATTAGACTCCCTCCGTTCATTAGACTCCCTCCGTTCATTAGACTCCCTCCGTTCATTAGACTCCCTCCGTTCATTAGACTCCCTCCGTTCATTAGACTCCCTCCGTTCATTAGACACCCTCCGTTCATTAGACTCCCTCCGTTCATTAGACACCCTCCGTTCATTAGACTCCCTCCGTTCATTAGACTCCCTCCGTTCATTAGACTCCCTCCGTTCATTAGACACCCTCCGTTCATTAGACTCCCTCTGTTCATTAGACTCCCTCCGTTCATTAGACTCCCTCCGTTCATTAGACACCCTCCGTTCATTAGACTCCCTCCGTTCATTAGACTCCCTCCGTTCATTAGACTCCCTCCATGCATTCTCTCTACTAAATGTTCTGTACTTTGGCATTAGAGACGTGTAAGGCTGATGTCTGACACCGGTGGTTCTCTCTCCGCACCCCAGTGCCTTGTGGGAAGCTGGAGGATTGTTGTCCGTTTCCCCTGGTGAAGCGGTTGTCCAACGGCTCGGTCTCTGTTTCCGAGCTGGGTCACAGCAGCTGCTCCGAGGGAGAGAAGGAGTTTGCTGCTCCTGAATGGGACGTCCCACTCCTCAAAACCACCGACCGTACGTTTATTTTTAAATTTATTTCACCTTTATTTAACCAGGTAAGTCAGTTGAGAACAAGTTCTCATTTACAACTGCGACCTGGCCAAGATAAAGCAAAGCAGTGCGATAAAAACAACAACACAGAGTTACATATGGGGTAAAACAAAACATAAAGTCAAAAATACCACATAAAATCTATATACAGTGTGTGCAAATGTAGTAAGTTATGGAGGTAAGGCAATAAATAGGCCACGTCACTTATCTACATTGACGCTGTGTCCAAAATGCTGCCCTATTCCCTATATCAGGGTTCTTCAATTCCGGTCCTGGAGGGCCGAAACACCTCTGTTTTTCATCCTCTCCTTCTAATCAGGGGCTAATTCAGACCTGGGACACCAGGTGAGTGCAATTAACTACCAGGTAGAAATAATAAACAGAAGTGTTTCGGCCCTCCAGGACCGGAATTGAAGAACCCTGTCCTATATAGTGCATTACGTTTGACCAGGGCCCATAGTGCACTACTTTTGACCAGAACCCTATGTAGGGATTAGGGTGCCATCTGGAATGCAGACCTGGGTTGGGGTAAATGTCATTTCAATTAAGCCAATTCAGGGAGTAAACTGAAATTCATCACTGTTACTCTATTGGTGCAGAAAAAACACTGTTGAGATACAGTGGGGGAAAAAAAGTATTTAGTCAGCCACCAATAGTGCAAGTTCTCCCACTTAAAAATATGAGAGAGGCCTGTAATTTTCATCATAGATACACGTCAACTATGACAGACAAATTGAGGGAAAAAAATCCAGAAAATCACATTGTAGGATTTTTAATGAATTTATTTGCAAATTATGGTGGAAAATAAGTATTTGGTCACCTACAAACAAGCAAGATTTCTGGCTCTCACAGACCTGTAACTTCTTCTTTAAGAGGCTCCTCTGTCCTCCACTCATTACCTGTATTAATGGCACCTGTTTGAACTTGTTATCAGTATAAAAGACACCTGTCCACAACCTCAAACAGTCACACTCCAAACTCCACTATGGCCAAGACCAAAGAGCTGTCAAAGGACACCAGAAACAAAATTGTAGACCTGCACCAGGCTGGGAAGACTGCATCTGCAATAGGTAAGCAGCTTGGTTTGAAGACATCAACTGTGGGAGCAATTATTAGGAAATGGAAGACATACAAGACCACTGATAATCTCCCTCGATCTGGGGCTCCACGCAAGATCTCACCCCGTGGGGTCAAAATGATCACAAGAATGGTGAGCAAAAATCCCAGAACCACACGGGGGGACCTAGTGAATGACCTGCAGAGAGCTGGGACCAAAGTAAGAAAGCCTACCATCAGTAACACACTACGCCGCCAGGGACTCAAATCCTGCAGTGCAAGACGTGTCCCCCTGCTTAAGCCAGTACATGTCCAGGCCCGTCTGAAGTTTGCTAGAGTGCATTTGGATGATCCAGAAGAGGATTGGGAGAATGTCATATGGTCAGATAAAACCAAAATAGAACTTTTTGGTAAAAACTCAACTCGTCGTGTTTGGAGGACAAAGAATGCTGAGTTGCATCCAAAGAACACCATACCTACTGTGAAGCATGGGGGTGGAAACATCATGCTTTGGGGCTGTTTTTCTGCACAGGGACCAGGACGACTGATCCGTGTAAAGGAAAGAATGAATGGGGCCATGTATCGTGAGATTTTGAGTGAAAACCTCCTTCCATCAGCAAGGGCATTGAAGATGAAACGTGGCTGGGTCTTTCAGCATGACAATGATCCCAAACACACCGCCCGGGCAACGAAGGAGTTGCTTCGTAAGAAGCATTTCAAGGTCCTGGAGTGGCCTAGCCAGTCTCCAGATCTCAACCCCATAGAAAATCTTTGGAGGGAGTTGAAAGTCTGTGTTGCCCAGCGACAGCCCCAAAACATCACTGCTCTAGAGGAGATCTGCGTGGAGGAATGGGCCAAAATACCAGCAACGGTGTGTGAAAACCTTGTGAAGACTTACAGAAAATGTTTCACCTGTGTCATTGCCAACAAAGGGTATATAACAAAGTATTGAGAAACTTTTGTTATTGACCAAATACTTATTTTCCACCATAATTTGCAAATAAATTCATTAAAAATCCTACAATGTGATTTTCTGGATTTTTTTTCCTCATTTTGTCTGTCATAGTTGACATGTACCTATGATGAAAATTACAGGCCTCTCTCATCTTTTTAAGTGGGAGAACTTGCACAATTGGTGGCTGACTAAATACTTTTTTTCCCCACTGTATATCTGTGGTAATATAAGACGCGTGTCATCAGCAAACCACATCTGAGAAGGTCATGTTGATGGTTAATACAATGAATGTAAACTAAATAATAGAGGTCCTAGAATCAATCCCTGTGAAACACCACATACTGCCTCCATTATCACTCCTCTCTCTCCGTCATACAGAAGCAGACAACTTCCTGCAGACCGTGAACCCCTTCCTGAAGAGACCCATCTCAGCTAGGACCTACTCCCCTCCCCCCTCCTCCCCCAGCCTAGTGACCAGGGGAACATACAGCCAAGTACTCAACGCCAATTGTGAGACCAACTTGAAGAAGGCACCAGGGAACAAGCTAGCTAATGCCACCACCTCTCTCCCGGGCAAGAATGGCAATCCTACTTTTGCAGCTGTTGCTGCGGGATACGACAGAAGCCCAGGTGCGCTACGAGAGAGGATCTCTAGTTGTCAACCCTCTCATACTGTTGTGGTGACTAGATACAAGTTGTGACCATAGGGTGTGATGGTTTTCAGGTGGCAGGTTGTGACCATAGGGTGTGATGGTTTTCAGGTGGCAGGTTGTGACCATAGGGTGTGATGGTTTTCAGGTGGCAGGTTGTGACCATAGGGTGTGATGGTTTTCAGGTGGCAGTGACCCAGGTAAAAGAGGCCAAGGGAAGTCTCTAGCTCACATGACCTCAGTGGAGAGTGACCGCTCAGACAGGTAACAACATCTCTCTCTCTCTCTCTCTCTCTCGCTTTCTCGCTCTGATTCCAAATAATCCCTTCATATTTCCTCTATCTAGCTCAGGATTATGGTCTCCCATAGGATTCAACTCTGTCAACTCCTTCTCTGCATTCGGACCCAACAACTCTTTCAATCTGACAGGAGGTAAGGACTGGAATCGGGGGAGAACAAAGGAAATGAGCCTTCGGGCTGTATTGTGTTTTGTAATGTTGTCTCCGGATAGAGCAGCCTACTACTTTTAATTCTCGAATAAATTGAATAAATCCAATTTGATGGTGCATTATGATTCGGCGTGGTTAGAAATCCTGCAGTTATGGTGAAGTGTTGGCTTATTTAGGGGATTTCACATTAGATTATAGTGATCCGGACTGTAGTGGATCAATCCACATTATAATGATCCGGACTGTAGTGGATCAATCCACATTATAATGATCCGGACTGTAGTGGGTCAATCCACATTATAATGATCCGGACTGTAGTGGATCAATCCACATTATAATGATCCGGACGGTAGTGGATCAATCTACATCATTTTTTTGCTAGTATTAAAGGCGTTTTTGTTTGTTTTTCAGTCTTCAGGGGGATGTCCTTCCCGAAGACGTCCGAGCCTCAGCAGAGCTGGCCTGAGTTAAGCTCTGTGTCCTCGTCTATCTGGGACGCCCCCAGCACCAGCAACCCCCTGCACTCCTGGCTCAGCAGCTCCAGCTCCCCCACTGTCCCCACCGCGGTAAGAGCCCTCTTAAATACCATATTATCATTATACATTCTTAACATATACCACTGTGGTCAGACCCCCTCACAGTATGATCTTAATCCTCCCTGAGGTACATTCTTAAGCCGGTTTCAAAGTTCTGTTTGGCCACTTGATGCATGGAGTGGAGAAAGTGTTTTTGACGTTTGTCGATGAGATATTGTCCAGACCGGATATTGTCCAGACCGGATATTGTCCAGACCGGCCCCGGTTTTCACCTGTAGTAAAAGCCTTCCAAATCTATTAATTAAACTGATGTCGTCTCCCCGGTTTACTAATGATAAACGTAGTTAAACTCACCCCACCTCTCCCACCCTGGTTAACAGCAGGAATCCCTGGTCCACTGCTACGAGGAAGAGCTCGTATTTGTTGTTTTGAAAAGTTTGTTGTTTTGAAAGTGAAGTTCTTTGTAGCTAGCTTACTTTTTAGTTTGGATCCCGTGACACAGTTGGCATCAGTTGCTGGGATTGCTAGTCTCTGTCCAGTGATCCTGCCGACCAAGGACTGGTCTGAGGAGCTATTTGGCGTAGCAGCTAGCCTGGCTGCTAGCTAGCAGCATTTCAAGCTAGAAAGGTTTTCTTGAGGGCTTGAACGCAGCCCGCAACGTGGTTAGCCATTGTGGCTGGGACCGCGGATTGTCCCGGGTTTGTGGCTGTCTAGATCCCTGCTGTTTGTTGTTTTCCATCTTCCCTGTGACCTGCCCTGTCGGGAACTGAGAGGAGTAACAGCGTAACCTACGTTGCTAGCTACCATGACAAAGACCAAAGCCGGCGGGAGTACCGTTGTCAAGGACAGTGGTGTCTCTCTATAACACGTGAAGGATCTTTTAAACGAACAAAAATAGTTCTACAAGCAGTTGTTACAACAACACGAAAATAGCTTCAAGTGCTTTGTCCATATACTGGTGGATTCAACTAATAAAATAATGGACGACCTGACCAGAGAGGTCCAGGACCTGAAGAACAGTTTGCAGTTCTCCCAGGGTCAGCTCGATGAGTTGAAACAGGAGAACGGCAAGATTACAGCAATCTGTAAGTCATTGAGAGAGGACATCAGTTCTGTCTGTGAATCCATGATAACAATGACGGATAAATCATCTCGAGGGACAATCAAGGCGTAACAACATGGTTGTGGACGGAATTACAGAATCTCCACATGAGACCTGGACGGAGTCTGAGGACAAAGTGAGGGAAATGATCTCTGAGAAATTGAAGATGGACCACAGGAAGACTGAGGTGGAGCGCCCCCACAGGACTGGAAAACCCACCACCGGCCCAGGGGACCGGCCCAGGCCAATAGTGGTCAAGTTCCTGAGGTTCAAGGACAAGGTAGTTGTTCTGGAAAGAGCCAAGAACTTGAGAGGAATGTATATCTTCCTCAACGAGGACTATCCTGAAGCTGTGCGCCAGAAGAGGAAAGAACTTATCCCAGCCATGAAAGCTGCCAGAGCGCGTGGGGACATTGTTTACATCCGCTATGACAGGGTCATTGTCCACCCTCCCTCCCAGAAGCCTGGAAGGGATGAGAGAGCCAATCCTATTGGTTCGTAGCTTCAACCCCAAAGCGCGCACACACACACACACACACACACCAACTGATTAATGGACTGCTAAATGCATATATTTTTCTCTTGCTTTGTTTGCTCTTTCCAGGATTATGTCTATCTCTGATAAGCTACTCAGGAAAGGGCTGAAAATATTAATATATGTAGCCTTAGAAATAAGGTTCATGAAATCAATAACTTGCTAACATGCATATATTAGCCATTATGTCAAGTGTTATTGAAGTGTTGTTGTTGCAGGTTTACTTGCCACATCTAAAGCCTTTTCTTTTGGGGTGTTGCTATAGGCCACCAAGTGTGAACAGTCAGTATCTAAATACAGTGAGGGAAAAAAGTATTTGATCCCCTGCTGATTTTGTATGTTTGCCCACTGACAAAGACATGATCAGTCTATAATTTTAATGGTTGTTTTATTTGAACAGTGAGAGACAGAATAACAAGCATGTCAAAAATGTTATAAATTGATTTGCATTTTAATGTGGGAAATAAGTATTTGACCCCTCTGCAAAACATGACGTAGTACTTGGTGGCAAAACCCTTGTTGGCAATCACAGAGGTCAGACGTTTCTTGTAGTTGGCCACCAGGTTTGCACACATCTCAGAAAGGATTTTGTTCCACTCCTCTTTGCAGATCTTCTCCAAGTCATTAAGGTTTTGAGGCTGACGTTTGGCAACTCAAACCTTCAGCTCCCTCCACAGATGTTCTATGGGATTAAGGTCTGGAGACTGGCTAGGCCACTCCAGGACCTTCATGTGTTTCTTCTTGAGCCACTCCTTTGTTGCCTTGGCTGTGTGTTTTGGGTCATTGTCATGCTGGAATACCCATCTACCACCCATTTTCAATGCCCTGGCTGAGGGAAGGAGGTTCTCACCCAAGATTTGACGGTACATGGCCCCATCCATCGTCCCTTTGATGCTGTGAAGTTGTCCTGTCCCCTTAGCAGAAAAACACCCCCAAAGCATAATGTTTCCACCTCCATGTTTGACGGTGGGGATGGTGTTCTTGGGGTCATAGGCAGCATTCCTCCTCCTCCAAACATGGCGAGTTGAGTTGATGCCAAAGAGCATGATTTTGGTCTCATCTGACCACAACACTTTCACCCAGTTCTCCTCTGAATCATTCAGATGTTAATTGGCAAACTTCAGCCGGCCCTGTATATGTGCTTTCTTGAGCAGGGCGTTGCAGGATTTCAGTCCTTTACGGCGTAGTGTGTTACCAATTGTTTTCTTGGTGACTATGGTCCCAGCTGCCTTGAGATCATTGACAAGATCCTCCCGTGTAGTTCTGGGCTGATTCCTCACCGTTCTCATGATCATTGCAACTCCACGAGGTGAGATCTTGCATGGAGCCCCAGGCCGAGGGAGATTGACAGTTATTTTGTGTTTCTTCCATTTGCGAATAATCGCACCAACTGTTGTCACCTTCTCACCAAGCTGCTTGGCGATGGTCTTGTAGCCCATTCCAGCCTTGTGTAGGTCTACAATCTTGTCCCTGACATCCTTGGAGAGCTCTTTGGTCCTGTCCACATCACGCTGTTGCTTCTGTGGACAGGTGTCTTTTATACAGGTAACAAGCTGAGATTAGGAGCACTCCCTTTAAGAGTAAAAAACTAATAATGAAAGAAAAGCATTGCAAGTTAGTGTGGGAGAGGTGGACATTGTTATCGATCAATAATGACAAACCTCCTGGCATTGACAACTTAGATGGAAAGCTACTGAGGATGGTAGCTGACTCTATAGCCACTCCTATCTGTCATATCTTTAATCTGAGCCTAGAGGAAAGTCTGTGTCCTCAGGCCTGGAGGGAAGCCAAAGTCATTCCACTACCTAAGAGTGGTAAAGTGGCCTTTACTGGTTCTAACAGCAGACCAATAAGCTTGCTGCCAGCTCTTAGCAAACTATTGGAAAGAATGGTGTTTGACCAAATACAATGCTATTTCTCTGTAAACAAATTAACAACAGACTTTCAACATGCTTATAGGGAAGGGCACTCAACATGTACTGCACTGACACTATTGACTGATGATTGGTTGAAAGAAATTGATAATAAGAAGATTGTGGGAGATGTACTGTTAGATTTCAGTGCAGCCTTGGGTATTATTGACCATAACCTGTTGTTGAAAAAACACGTGTTATGGCTTTTCAACCTCTGCCATATTGTGGATTCAGAGCTATCTATCTAATAGAACAGAGTTTTATTTAGTGGAAGCTTCTCTAATGTAAAGTGTGGTGTACCACAGGGCAGCTCTCTAGGCCCTCTACTCTTTTTACCAATGACCTGTCGCTGGCATTAAACATTTACATTTTTTACATTTACGTCATTTAGCAGACGCTCTTATCCAGAGCGACTTACAAGTTGAAAACAAAGCATGTGTGTCCATATATGCTGATGAAGTCACCAAAACCCTTAACAAAGAGTTGCAGTTTGTTTTGGAATGGGTGGCCACTAATAAACTAGTCCTGAACATCTCTAAAACTAAGAGCATTGTATTTGGTACAAATCATTCCCTTAATCCTAGACCTCAGCTGAATCTGGTAATGAATGGTGTGGCTGTTGAACAAGTTGAGGAGACTAAATTACTTAGTTTACAATCTAAGGTAACATATAGATTCTGGTCAAAACATATAGATTCAATAGTTGTAAAGATGGGGAGAGGTCTGTCCGTAATAAAGAGATGCTCTGCTTTTTTGACACCACACTCCAAAAAGCAAGTTCTACAGGCTCTAGTTTTGTCTAATCTTGATTATTGTCCAGTCATGTGGTCCAGTGCTGCAAGGAAAGACCTAGTTAAGCTGCAGCTGGTCCAGAACAGAGCGACATGTCTTGCTCTTCATTGTAATCAGAGGGCTGATATAAATACTATGCATGCCAGTCTCTCTTGGCTAAGAGTTGAGGAGAGACTGACTCCATCACTTCTTCTTTTTATAAGAAACATTAATGTGTTGAAAATCCCAAATTGTTTGCATAGTCAACTTACACACAGCTCTGACACACACACTTACCCCACCAGACATGCCACCAGGGGTCTTTTCACAGTCCCCAAATCCAGAACAAATTCAAGAAAGCGTAGAGTATGTTTCCAAGATGGCGTAGCAGTGCGGTCGCTTTTATTTTTCGTCCCGTGTAAATATCCCGTTTCTTGTTTTTTTGTCTATATTTCTCAATTTTTTACTTTCATTCTTTAACTAAACCCGCCTCACCCAACGTGGAAAGGATTCTATTATTTCTTTATAACTTTCATCAAGAACCGTAAGCTGAAAATAGTGGCTACCTGTTATTAGTCACCGTTAGCGTCTTCACCATTGTCCGTGGCCTACACTATCCACCAGCCAGCTCTAGCTCTAGCCTGGACAATTCGTCGGCCAGTCTGCACAGCGTGCTATCGACCCAGCGTGCTATCGACCCAGAGCTTATTGGACTTTCTGCCGGAATCACTGGACCCTAGCGCCGGATCATCACAACCAGCTAGCTAGCTGCAACCTGTTGTTGGCTGATTACCATTACCATTGCCCTATAGCAAGCACCAGTTAGCCTTGAGCTAGCCTCAGGCCCATCTCCCGGCTATCTACCTCTCTGTCAACCGGACGGGACCTCCTAGTGTTGACACTGAGCCCCGCCGATCCAACACGACTGGTTTGCCGACGAAATAGTCTGATGTGGTTTCAACAGGCTTCCCGTTGCGACGACCACGAAGATCCATCTGCCAGCCCCGGCCCGCTAGCACACGCAAACTACAACTGTGCTCCCTGCTAGCTGTGCTGAAGCACCAATTTGAACTGCTCTCGGACTCACATATTGCTGTTCACTGGACCTTATGATCACTCAGCTGCACAGCTGATGCCTGCTGGACTGTTCCTTTACACGGTACCCTGTCCTGTTTATTCTGTTTAGTCTTAGCCCAAACGTTATCGCTATTTCCAGTTGTGTCTTAGCTCTCTCTAATAACACCTGTGACTGCTTTATGCCTCTCTCCCATGTCAATTATGCCTTGCCTATTGCTGTTTGGGTTAGTTCGTATTATACAATTTCAATGTAGAACCCCTAGTCCCTCTCAAACTGCCTCATATAGTTCCTTTGTTCCTCCCCCCATACACGCCGAGACCGGCTCAATCGATGCCTCCAATGACGCTATCTCTTTCATTGTTACCCAACGCTTAGGGTTACCTGAACTGTACTCATATCCTTCCATATCCTTTTCTGTACATAATGCCCTGAATCTTTTCTACAACGCCCGGAGAACTGCCCCCTTTATTCTATGTACCCAACGCACTAGAAGACCAGCCTTTAGTCGTATCCTTATTCTAGTCCTCCTCTGTTCCTCTGGTGATGTAGAGGCTAACCCAGGCCCTGCAGCCCCCAGTATCACTCCTACTCCCCAGGAGCTATAAATATCAGAAGCCTCCTTCCTAAGTTTGAGTTATTCACTGCGTTAGCACACTCCGCCAACCCTGATGTTCTAGCAGTGTCTGAATCCTGGCTTAGGAAGGCCACCAAAAATTCTGAAATTTCCATCCCCAACTATAACATTTTCCGTCTAGATAGAACTGCCAAAGGGGGTGGAGTTGCAATCTACTGTAGAGATAGCCTGCAGAGCTCCATCATACTATCCAGGTCTGTGCCCAAACAGTTTGAGCTTCTACTTCTAAAAATCCACCTTTCCAGAAATAAATCTCTCACTGTTGCCGCTTGCTACAGACCCCCCTCAGCCCCCAGCTGTGCCCTGGACACCATATGTGAATTGATTGCCCCCCATCTATCCTCAGAGTTCGTACTGCTTGGTGACCTAAATTGGGATATGCTTAACACCCCGGCCATCCTACAATCTAAACTAGATGCCCTCAATCTCACACAAATTATCAACGAACCTACCAGGTACAACCCTAAATCCGTAAACATGGGTACCCTCATAGATATCATCCTGACTAACTTACCCTCTAAATACACCTCCGCTGTCTTCAACCAGGATCTCAGCGATCACTGCCTTATTGCCTGCGTCCGTAACGGGTCCGCGGTCAAACGACCACCCCTCATCACTGTCAAACGCTCCCAAAAACACTTCAGCGAGCAGGCCTTCCTAATTGACCTGGCCCAGGTATCCTGGATGGATATAGATCTCATTCCGTCAGTAGAGGATGCCTGGTTGTTCTTTAAAAGTAATTTCCTCTCAATCTTAAATAGACATGCCCCATTCAAAAAATACAGAACTAAGAACAGATATAGCCCCTGGTTCTCCTCAGACTTGACTGCCCTTGACCAGCACAAAAACATCCTGTGGCGTACTGCATTAGCATCAAATAGCCCCCGCGATATGCAACTTTTCAGGGAAGTTAGGAACCAATATACACAAGCAGTTAGGAAAGCAAAGGCTAACTTTTTCAAACAGAAATTTGCATCCTGTAGCACTAACTCCAAAAAGTTTTGGGACACTGTAAAGTCCATGGAAAATAACAGCACTTCCTCCCAGCTGCCCACTGCACTGAGGCTAGGAAACACTATCACCACCGATAAATCTACAATAATCGAGAATTTCAACAAGCATTTTGCTACGGCTGGCCATGCTTTCCACCTGGCTACCACTACCCCGGCCACCAGCTCTGCACCCTCCGCTGCAACTTGCCCATGCCCCCCCCGCTTCTCCTTCACACAAATCCAGACAGCTGATGTTCTAAAAGAGCTGCAAAATCTGGACCCCTACAAATCATCTGGGCTAGACAATCTGGACCCTTTCTTTCTAAAACTAGCCGCCGAAATTGTCGCAACCCCTATTACTAGCCTGTTCAACCTCTCTTTCGTAACGTCTGAGATCCCCAGAGATTGGAAAGCTGCCGCGGTCATCCCCCTCTTCAAAGGGGGTGACACTCTAGATCCAAACTGTTACAGACCCATATCCATCCTGCCCTGCCTTTCAAAGGTTTTTGAAAGCGAAGTCAACAAACAGATCACCGACCATTTCGAATCCCACCGTACCTTCTCCGCTATGCAATCCGGTTTCCGAGCTGGTCATGGGTGCACTTCAGCCACGCTCAAGGTCCTAAACGATATTATAACCGCGATCGATAATAGACAGTACTGTGCAGCCGTTTTCATTGACCTGGCCAAGGCTTTCGACTCTGTCAACCACCGCATTCTTATTGGCAGACTAAATAGCCTTGGTTTCTCAAATGACTGCCTCGCCTGGTTCACCAACTACTTCTCAGATAGAGTTCAATGTGTCAAATCGGAGGGCCTGTTGTCTGGACCTATGGCAGTCTCTATGGGGGTGCCACAGGGTTCAATTCTTGGGCCAACTCTTTTCTCTGTGTATATCAATGACGTCGCTCTTGCTGCTGGTGACTCTCAGATCCACCTCTACGCAGACGACACCATTTTGTATACATCTGGCCCTTCATTGGACACTGTGTTAACAAACCTCCAAACGAGCTTCAATTCCATACAACACTCCTTCAGTAGCCTCCAACTGCTCTTAAACACTAGTAAAACTAAATGCATACTCTTCAACCGAACGCTGCTTGCACCCGCCCACCCGACTAGAATCACTACTCTAGACGGGTCTGACCTAGAGTATGTGGACAACTACAAATATCTAGGTGTCTGGTTAGACTGTAAACTCTCCTTCCAGACTCACATTAAGAATCTCCAATCCAAAGTTAAATCTAGAATCGGTTTCCTATTTCGCAACAAAGCCTCCTTCACTCATGCTGCCAAACATGCCCTCGTAAAACTGACTATCCTACCGATCCTTGACTTCGGCGATGTCATTTACAAAATAGCCTCCAACACTCTACTCAGCAAATTGGATGTTGTCTATCACAGTGCCATCCGTTTTGTCTCCAAAGCCCCATATAATACCCACCACTGTGACCTGTACGCTCTTGTTGGCTGGTCCTCACTACATATTCGTCGCCAAACCCACTGGCTCCAGGCCATCTATAAATCACTGCTAGGCAAATCCCCGCCTTATCTTAGCTCATTGGTCACCATAGCAACACCCACCCGTAGTCTGCGCTCCAGCGGGTATATCTCACTGGTCATCCCCAAAGCCAACACCTCCTTTGGCCGCAATTCCTTCCAGTTCTCTGCTGCCAATGACTGGAACAAATTGCAAAAATCTCTGAAGCTGGAGACACTTATCTTCCTCACTAACTTTAAGCATCAGTTGTCAGAGCACCTTACCGATCACTGCACCTGTACACAGCCCATCTGAAATTAGCCCGCCCAACTACCTCATCCCCATATTGTTATTTATTTTGCTCATTTGTACCCCAGTATCTCTATTTGCACATCATCTCTTGCACATCATTCCAGTGTTAATACTAAATTGTAATTATTTTGCACTATAGCCTATTTTATTGCCTTACCTCCATAACTTGCTAAATTTGCACACTGTATATTATATGTATTTCTGTTGTATTTTTGACTTAGTTTTGTTTTACCCCATATGTAACTCTGTGTTGTTGTTTTTATCGCACTGCTTTGCTTTATCTTGGCCAGGTCGCAGTTGTAAATGAGAACTTGTTCTCAACTGGTTTACCTGGTTAAATAAAGGTTAAATAAAAAATAAAATAAAATTATATAGAGCTATTATTGCATGGAACTCCGTTCCATCTCATATTGCTCAAATAAATAGAAAACCTGGTTTAAAAAAACCGATAAAGCAACACCTCACGGCACAACGCCTCTCCCCTATTTGACCTAGATAGTTTGTGTGTATGTATTGATATGTAGGTGACGTGTGCCTTTTTAAAAATATCTGTAGTTCTGTCCTTGAGCTGTTCTTGTCTTTTAATGTTTCATGTTTTGTGTGGACTCCAGAAAGAGCAGCTGCTGCTTTTGCAACAGCTAATGGGGATCCTAATAAAATACCAATACCAAAAATCTATTAAGAAAATTGATTGATGATATTTAGTCTTTCTGGTAATGATAAACACCAACATTTACAATTATTTTTCCAGTCCATCTAACAGTTTTTTGGGGTGCTTCAGTGGTATATTGTCTAGACATGCCCCCATGTTCACCATCAGTAATATTAGACTTTATATTATTATTAACCCATAGGGCTCTGGACAGAAGCACTATAGGTCATATATTTTGAGACGTAAACTAATGATTTCCCCACCTCTGTTTCTTCAGTCCATCCTGGGTAGGAGCAGGAACCACTGGTCCACCACCACCCTCCCGGACCTACCCAGTAGCACCCCCTTTGGCAGCTCGATCTGGTCCACTGGTGGAGCCCTACACTCCTTCACTCCCACCACCACCTCCACCCTCCCGGACCTACCCAGCAGCACCCCCGCCCTGGGCCTGGCACCAGCCCCTCCCGCTGCCCCCACTGAGATGACCTATAACCCCTGGAGCACGTGGAGACCCACCCTCAGCAGACGCAGCTCGGAGCCCTGGCCCAACCAATCAGACGACACCAACCACTGAGGAGCGACAGGCACTCACTCTTAGCCTGGTCCCAGATCTGTTTCAGCTCCACTCACTCTTAGCCTGGTCCCAGATCTGTTTCAGCTCCACTCACTCTTAGCCTGGTCCCAGATCTGTTTCAGCTCCACTCACTCTTAGCCTGGTCCCAGATCTGTTTCAGCTCCACTCACTCTTAGCCTGGTCCCAGATCTGTTTCAGCTCCACTCACTCTTAGCCTGGTCCCAGATCTGTTTCAGCTCCACTCACTCTTAGCCTGGTCCCAGATCTGTTTCAGCTTTTTTCCAACTCCATTGCTGTCTTTATCAAGCCATACATGGCAACGTGGCTTGGCAACGTGGCCAAACAGGCTGGCCAAACAGGCTGGCACTCATGGCTAACTCGCTCTCACAGACTCTTAACTGAACAATCAAGTAAATCATGCATTAATGTAAATGGTATATTTACATCAACTTGTTATGTAAGCAGATCTCAAGTAAGGATTCTGGTCTAAATCAGAAAACATGCCATGGTATCAGTTGTTAAACAGTACTTAAATGTACGTCAAAACAAATAAATAATTTTATCGACGAGTCCTGTCTGGAAAAGGTTTAAATGTCATTTGGTAGCCCCAGCACTTTGTAACACCAACCAAACCCCCCTTACCATTTAGTTCACAGCAGTTACATGCTTTTTATTCAGGGGGGAGAGAAATACAGACTTGATTCAGATTTATTTTAGGGACACCTGTAAATTTAAACAAGAGAAAGGATGGATGGAATGTTTTTACTGATTGTTGTTCACTTGCTCTGGTCCAGGTCGCTGTAACACCCTGGACCAGAGCTAGGTAATGCTGTGCTGTTGTGTTGGTCTTGGCTCAGTACTGCTGTATGGTGCAGTGTTACTCTGTTGAAATAAGACTCACCACCTTCCGGAGACATTTGAAACCCCACCTCTTTAAGGAACACCTGGGATAGGATAAAGTAATCCTTCTACCCCCCCCCAAAATTGTAAAGTGGTTATCCCACTGGCTATAGGGTGAATGCACCAATTTGTGAGTCGCTCTGGATAAGAGCGTCTGCTAAATGACGTAAATGTGCCCTTGAGCAAGGCACTTAACCCTAATTGCTCCTGTAAGTCGCTCTGGATAAGAGCGTCTGCTAAATGACTAAAATGTAATGTAAAATGTAAATAAGCACTTTGTGTGAAGCAGACACATGCAGTGCATTTGGAAAGTATTCAGACCCGTTCACTTTTTCCACATTTTGTTACGTTACAGCCTTATTCAAAAATGGATTTAAAAAATAATAATTCCTTATCTACACACAATACCCCATAATGACAAAGCACAAACCGTTTTTTAGACATTTTAGCAAATGTATAATACATTTAAAAAACTGCACAGCTATTTTCAGGTCTCTCCAGAGACGTTAGATCGTGTTCAAGTCTGGGCTCTGGCTGGGCCACTCAAGGACATTCTGAGACTTGTCCCGAAGCCACTCCTGCGTTGTCTTGGCTGTGTGCTTAGGGTCGTTGTCCTGTTGGAAGGTGAACCTTCGCCCCAGTCTGAGGTCCTGAGCGCTCTGGAGCAGGTTTTCATCAAGGATCTCTCTGTACTTTGCTCTGTTCATCTTTCCCTCGATCCTGACTAGTCTCCCAGTCGCTGCCACTGAAAAACATCCCCACAGCATGATGCTGCCACCACCATGCTTCACCGTAGGGATGGTGCCAGGTTTCCTCCAGACAAGACGCTTGGCATTCAGGCCAAAGAGGTCAATCTTGGTTTCATCAGACCAGAGAATCTTGTTTCTCATGGTCAGAGTCTTTAGGTGCCTTTTGGCAAACTCCAAGCGGGCTGTCATGTGCCTTTTACTAAGGATGATCAATGGAAACAGGATGCACCTGAGCTTAATTTCGAGTCTCATAGCAAAGGGGCTGAATAAATAAGGTATTTCTGTTTTTTATTTTTAATACATTTGCAAAAATGTCTAAAAACCTGTTTTCACTTTGTAATGATGAGGTATTGTGTGTAGATTGATGAGGGGGAAAAAGACAATGTAATCCATTTTAGAATATGGCTGTAACGTAACAAAATGTGGAAAAAGTGAAGGGGGTCTGAATACTTTCCGAATGCACTGTATCTTCTGTTTTAAGGGTTGTTTTCTAGCCTGGATACCAGTCTGTTTGTGCCATCATGCTGTTCACTAGAGCACATCTGGGACCAGGCTAGTTGTTTTCATTATTTAATTTTATTGGCTGATTTGAAATGTGGCTGACACAGTAATTATGACGGAGGAAGCATCCTTTGTGACCAGAATCCTAGAATGCATCCCAAATGGCACCCTATTCCCTATATAGTGCACTACTTTAGACCAGAGAATGGCACCCTATTCCCTATATAGTGCACTACTTTAGACCAGAGAATGGCACCCTATTCCCTATAATAGTGCACTACTTTAGACCCTGCTATAGGGAATAGGGTGCCATTTTGAATGCAGTTCTATTGAACAGTTAGGAGCTGGGACACTCAGTGTTTGCTTTGTTTCCACTCATACATGGCCAAATCAGGAAAACATCATGAATGTTGATGTTTTGTCTTTAAAAAAAGGAGTTCTACTGAAAGTTAGAAAAATAAGCTTTTTGTTGGAATTGATAAAAAATGTGGTTAAGTTAAAGGAATAGCTCTGTATTTTGACAGAGGCCCTTTACCTACTTCCCCAGAGTCAGATGAACTCGTGGAAACCATTTATGTCTGCATGCAGTTTGAAGGAAGTTACTAACTAGGGCTAGCATAGACTTCCAGTCATTGCGCTATCTGCTAGCACGCTAACAGATACCATAGACTTCCAGTCGTTGCGCTAACGCTAGTTAGCATTGGCTCACGAAACTACCTCTAACTTCCTTTATACTGAGACATAAAAATGGAATCCATGAGTTTCTGACTCTGGGGAAATAGAGTCAAGGCCTGAAGTGTCCCTTTAAGGGATAAAGGTTGATCTGACTCTGGGGAAATAGAGTCAAGGCCTGAAGTGTCCCTTTAAGGGTTAATAAATTACTTTAATCAAGAGGTTTATACTGTACATTACATCTGTCACCAAATTGAAATAAAAGGCATCGGACTGAGGTCATTCAAATGCATTTTCTTTTATTGAACATTACAAATCAGATGTGAAAATAAGCCCCTGAGCGTTTCGGTGGTGAGGTGTGGGGAGTTGTTTGGTGCAGTGGTGAGGTGTACATTTTTTTTAAAATTAGCATATGTAATGCTAAATCTGCAATCATCTCATGAACCATCCTCCAGATTTAGACTCATTACATACAGCAGTCTTTAATGGTTTTGAGATTTTTGTTGTTGCTGCATTCAATTATGGGCACAATTATGGGCGCACTGTACCTATAGATGCATGTTAGCACATACTTTATTCATTTACCTTATTTAACTAGGCAAGTCAGTTAAGAACAAATTCTTATTTACAATGACGGCCTAAACCGGCCAAACCCGGACGACGCTGGGCCAATTGTGCGCCGCCCTATGGAACTCCCAATCACGGCCGGTTGTGATACAGCCTGAATTACTGTATGCTAATGCTAAAAATACTTTACAAATCTTCTCATGAACCATAAATCAGATTGACTCCAGATTTGGCATACAGACTCAATGAATTAAGGAAAGACTAAAGCCACAATCAGCAGTAGAAATAGTAAAGCGTTCTCTCTGCCACTGTTTCGGTAAAAGCTGAGGAATGGGGCTGGAGAAATGTAACCACTCAAATTCATAGATCTATGGCTGATCCTCCATGATATCAAAATTATAGTTTTAACCATGAGGCTTGGTTTCCATTGACTTTGTTTACAAACATTGGAGTAAAACAAGCTTATATTTTGGGTTCTGATGAGCTATGACAATTGAACTAAGCTCATGAGGTATTTCTAATCAATGGGTACATTTCATTGATATATAAGTCCAGAAACGGATCACTTGCGTCCTCCTTGTGGTATTGAGAGAAACACGGTAATACTTTCACTGATAAGGGAAGATACAGGGAGCTGCCTAAATAAGACAACACCAACATCAAATGTCTTAATTGGGCCGTCAAACTCAACGCTGGACCTCAAAGCCAGTTCCACTGCATTATTTTTTTTCATCGTTCCCCTCTAATCAGACCTGGGACACCAGGTTGGCGCAATTAATTATCAGGTAGAACAGAAAATCAGCAGGATCCGGACCTCGTAGGGTCAGAGTTGAGTACCCTGTAATAGAGTATTTGGCCAAGTTAACAAAAACACCAACATAAAGTGTCTTAATACGGCGTTGGTCCACCACAAGCCAGAACAGCTTCAATGCACCTTGACATAGATTCTACAAGTGTCTGGAGCTCTATTGGAGGGATGCGACACCATTCTTCCATGAGAAATTCCATCATTTGGTGTTGGAAAACGCTGTCTCAGGCGCCGCTCCAGAATCTCACATACTGCAAGTGTTCAATTGGGTTGAGCTCTGGTGACTGAGACGGCCATGGCATATGGCTTACATCATTTCCATGCGCATAAAACCATTTACTGACCACTCGTGCCCTGTGGATGGGGGCGTTGCCATGGTAGCCAAAATAATGGCCTGTCCAGCACTTTTATACATGACCCTAAGCATGATGGGACGTTAATTGCTTAATTAACTCAGGAACCACACCTGTGTGGAAGCACATGCTTTCAATATACTTTGTATCCCTCATTTATTCATGCTGCCATTATTTTGGCAGTAACCTGTACTTCCTACATGATAGAGTGCTTGCGTTGTTATCCAACTGATCTGGTCTCCTTTCTGTCATCATGTGAACCCCGTTCATTGCTGCTATATTTCCCCTCACCATCGCCACCTTTTGTCAACACCCAGCAGGTGATCCACAACGCATGGCCGACATCTACACTACTTACTGCAGGGTTGTCTAAGGGAAGCCACGAGTAACTGGCTGAACTTGGTCAGATCACAGGTCTTCATGACAGAAACACAGTGGTTTTTCTTCAGTCTGTTACTCGGATCCAGAGCCATCATCCCCCTGCATAGCGCCCCCTGCAGTTCCACCCTGACAGCGCACACTATACTCTCTGTCACCACAGAGCTGTCTATACACGCTGCCACTGCATAAGCATCATAGGAGACAAAGCCAGGCCCAAAGTACACATCCCTCTTATTCAGCATGGCCTCCTTGGAATAACCCCAACACTTGGACGTGATCTTCTTCATGAAGCGACCAGCAGGCGTGTCTTCGTTAATCAGTTCTTCAAAGAATTCCTGGTCAATGAAAACACAGTTACACACAAGATAAATCTAAAACTAAATACACTGGTGAATCAAACTAAACGGGGTATATTTGAGTCTTTATTGAAGTCCTGTTGAGGTCAGGAGACCTCGCCAAGTAGGCAGCTCAATAAAGTAGTGTACATGGAAAGGAAGCATTCCTTAGCAACTAGGAAGTACAAGTAGGCAACGCAAGCTGTGAGTAATCAATGAAATACAAAACGGTTTCATTAGTAATGATTGTGTTCCTGTTCAGATATCAGGTAATAAAAACAGGTCAATCATACACTAGGTGGGGTTATAGGAGTGTACAGCGACAGGAAATGCAAGATGAAAGTTAATACTGTTAAAGAAATCAAGTAAATGCTAAATTATTCTAAACTGTTATATTAGTAATGATTTAGTAGTGTCCAGTATAGATAAAGTAATAAAAGCCGTCTGAATGTTGAACGCTGTTAACTCTTACCCATGACAGTTTATTCCTACAGCAATATTCCCATGATGCTATGTGTGTAGGACAGAGGTATTCCTCCAGGACGATGTAGGCAGATTCAGGATCCAACACAAAGTTAAACTCTCCACATAACGATACATTCCCCTTACCTTGAAGGAGAAATACTGGTCAAATTAGTTTGCGTCCCAAAATCGCACCCTATTCCCTACAAAGTGCACTACTTTTAACCAGAGCCTATGGGCCCTGTTCAAACTTAGTGCACTTATGTCGAGAATAGGGTGTCATTTGGGACGAACATTGAAATGACCTTATTTTCTATTACTGATTGTGACGTTACCCTCCATGTTGCCTCCCATAATGATGAGCTCCTTCAAGTTCTGAGGGAAAGAAGGGTCAAGTCTGATGACTAGAGCCAGGTTGGTGAGCGGCCCAAGAGCCACCAGGGACACCTGTCAACAGAAAAGGAAAAATAAGAATTGGCGGCTTACAATGGACACATATTCCACTAGAGGACATTATTATAACTTAGTGACTTAAACATTATTAAAACTTAGTGACTTAAACAATGATCATCTTTGCAATACCATCATCGTTCGTCCACTGTCTCCCATTGGACTGAAGACTGTATTATTGCTTGACATTATTACCTTTGTGTTTCTTTTGTGTTTGAATAGTTATGAAAAAACCCCTGACCCCCAGATTGGTATTGGTAGCCTACAGTACCTGTTTGGGGTTGTCAGCCACCAGTCGGATCATGGCATTAACAGCATGTTCTCTCTGGAGCTTCTCCTTCCACTGTGGATCTCTACCCTCCAGCACATCTCCCAGCCCGTCCGTCCCAAAGTGATGGCTGAAAGCCTTGGTGGCTCCCACCAGGGGAACAGCAGCACCCCGGAACACCGGGATCTATGAGAAACATACAGGCTGCCGATTTACCTTTAGGTCGTACAGATAACCAAGTTTGGTATGAATGGATGCCACACGTTGTCAAGAAAATAGAAATGCAAATGAAGACACTTGGGGGGGGAGGAGGAAGCCGAGCATTGAGTCTGACAGTACAAGCCTGTCTGAGCTGGGTCCCTACCTGTGTCCGTTCACAGACAGACAGCACCCGCAGCACATTCTGACAGACGTTGTCCACATCAGTATTCCCAAAGCAGCATGTTATCCCCAGGATCTGCAGGCCTGGAGCGGCCAAGGACATCATTATGGCCTGGGCGTCATCTATACCTGCGTCCGTGTCTATGATCACCAGCTTCTGGGCCATGGTGGCAGTGCCTTGTCTTTGGAGTTCAGATTATAGCTAGGGAGAGCAGGAAGAGTGGATATGCGTTATCAATTTCTAATATAGAACATTAGATAAAGTTACATAACATTGTTACATTATACTGCACAATTTAAACACTTGCCCCTAATTCACCTTTCCAAAAACACATGTAAATAGATTAATTGTGCCTTCCTGTATTATACTTATGCAAAAAAAAGTATTATATTCTACTGAGCCATTTACTTTATGTCCTTATTGTTATATTTTATTAGTTATTGTTGTTGTTGCATTGTCGAGGAACCTGTAAGCATTTCCCTGGACGTGTATACCATGTGTATCCCCGCCCCAGTTTCTGTTTTAGAGATGTCGACATTTCCTCTCTAACGCCCGGGAAGCTCGGTTTCAAACTCTGTCAGACAGCTCTGCAGGCGTTATAAAGTAGAAATACGTTCGTTATTCTCAAAATGTGGAGTTTCGCTGAACAACTATCATAATTTACTCCCGTTACGGCAGGTATGTACTTCCAAAAAATTCCCAGTCGACACCTCCAGTTTATCACACATTACTGCCACGCACAGCAAAATAAGACCTAAATACATCCGAGGTGCCGAAGAGGCATTGTTTTGGTTGCTTGTAAATATTTACTTAGACCTTTTTTAGAAGTACATACCGGACATAACGAGAGTAAATGAAGACAGTTATTCGGCGAAACTCCATAATTGGTGAATAGCGAACGTATTTTGGCATCATTCTAGAGCTCCAATTTACCGACCGACCGTTGTCTTGAAAGCACCATTTGCGAGATCTGCACCGATACTGGGGCAGTATATCCCATACATACGACTAAAAAAACTTGATAAGAATTACTGTAATTCAAACTCCCAGACTTACCAAGACTTTAGTGGAATAACAACTGCTTCCTGTTGTGCAGATCAGCGGAGTATTGACTTGACTCATACGAATCCCAAAAAGGTATCACAGTCTGATGTATTAGGCAAAGTATTGACAAGTGGACATTGAACTATCTAAAGCATCTTATGACATTATTAGATAAGACAAAGTTACATAAGTGGTACAATATTCAGATTCCAAGGCTTACCCAGAGTCCTGAGCACTGCTTGAAGTGGAGAAGTGAACGTTTCAACCCAATCAAGTCATAAAATCATAAATCATTGACAAGGATCACAGGGAGTATGCCGCGTTCATCTGCTAGTCGGAAATAGGACACTGTCATTTCCGACTTGCTAACTGGTTGTATTTATTCACGTGCCGCCTTCAACCAGTTAGCAAGTCAGAAATGTCAGAGTTTCCTAATTCCGACTAGCACTTGAATGCGGCAGTAGAACGCCCTCCTGCATGTGAGTGTATTTGTCAATGTGCGACAACTTACCTAGAAGAAAAAACTAAATAAATGTAGAAGTCAAGAAGCCATGCCTTTTACGTTGAGTAAAGTCATGACTTCTATGCCACGTTCAAACCAACTGGGAAATCTCCGACATATATAACCTGTACAAAAGAACAGCGCCGGAGAAGATGGCTGCCGTTTTACAGCCCTCAAACCCAGGGGTGTCAAACTCATTTTGGTTCAGGGGCCACATACAGCGCAATCTGATCTCAAGTGGGCCGGGCCAGTAAAATAATAGCAAAATAACCTATAAATAACGTCAACTCCAAATCTTTACCTTTGTTTTTCAATATTATGCCTTAATTTATCATTTAGCCTACATATGTGCATTATAACTCACAGATCACAGTGGATCTACAAAGGCACAAAACATTTATTCACAGATAGGCCTATGGAACTGAAAAAATGGCATTTCACTATGATTAAAACAACTTGTTTTATTAACTTAACTTATTTTAATGTACAGTATACATTCTGACCACCTGAACTGACTCACCACACTATGCACAAACTAAAGTGGGAGCTATGAAGAACGTTATCACAATGTTCATGGTCTTTAAATATTACATTACCACAGTAAATGTTATTTATGGGCCGGGCCAGTAAAATAATAGCAAAATAACCTATAAATAACGTCAACTCCAAATCTTTACCTTTGTTTTTCAATATTATGCCTTAATTTATCATTTAGCCTACATATGTGCATTATAACTCACAGATCACAGTGGATCTACAAAGGCACAAGTCTTACAATAGTTTTGGAGAGAGTCTTACAATTAGACTTGACCTACTCCCCTCTCTTTCTCTCACTGCGGCTGCTCCTGAAACTTGGCATCTTTTAGCCTTCACGATTGCATCAATATCAGGTGTCAAATCCTGAGTAGCAGCCAATTTCATAATGCCATTTAAGTGCTTGTGTGTTAGCCTTGAGCGCAGCTTTGTTTTATTGATGTTCATTACAGAGAAAACCTGTTCACAAAGATAGGTAGTCCCAAACATGCATAAAACCTTTGCAGCCAGGGCTGTTAATTTGGGGCACCCTGGCAAGGGATACTGATAAAATGTGTCCAAGCCCACAGAGGCAAATTTGTCCTTCATACCTGAATCACACTGCAAGTCAATTATTTCGAGTTGGATGTCAGCGGGCAGATCAGAAGCCTTGACTGTGAATGGCGAGCAAAAAACGGCAAATTCTGTCTCAAGTTCACCGAAGACCTGAAACCGTCGCTCAAACTCCCGCAGCAATCCTGTAATCTTGTCTTTGTATTGAGCCATGTCAGCATTAAGTCCGGTCGCACGCACATCTCTTAGACCAGGGAAATGAGCGGTGTCACCGCTAGATAGTTGTGTCTCCCAGAGTGACAGTTTCAACTTGAATGCGCGTATGCTGTCATAATACTGAGTGACAACTTTTTTGCGGCCCTGCAACATTTTGTTAAGATTATTCAGGTGCTCTGTAATATCCACCAGAAAGGCAAGATCCTGCACCCATTCTGGGCATTTAAGTTCCTTCACTGGTTTGCCTTTTTTCTCCATGAACTGTTCAATTTGCTCTCGTAGCTCAAAGAAACGCTTCAGCACGGCACCTCGGCTTAACCACCGTACTTCGGTGTGGTATGGCAAGCCATGCGTAATGTCTTTATCACTGAGAAGACTGTCAAACTGACGGTGATTCAAACCTCTTGCTCGGATGTAATTAACAGTGCGGACAACCACCTCCATGACATGATCCATTTTTAATGATTTGCAACACAATGCTTCCTGGTGCAAAATACAGTGAAATGTCCAAAACTCTTGTCCTCCATTTGCGGCCTGTACTTTCTCTCTGAACTTTGTCACAACGTCTGCTTTTCTCCCAATCATTGATGGCGCACCATCTGTAGCCAGGCTGACGGCACGGGACCAGTCCACTCCGACTCTGTCCAGCGCTCCAACGAGAGAGCTCATAATGTCATCCGCTGTTGTAGTATCCGTCATAGGTACCAACCCAAGGAACTCCTCGGTGACTGTCAAAGTCGCATCAACACCACGAATGAATATGGCCAGTTGAGCAACATCTGTAATATCAGTGCTCTCATCAATTGCAACCGAAAATGCAACAAATGACTTGACTTTGTGATTCATTTGGCTCTCCAAGTCTGCCGAGAGATCTGAAATTCTATCTGCGACAGTGTTTCTCGTTAGGCTAATGTTGGCAAAGGCCTGTCGCTTTTCAGGGCACACGATTTCTGCAGCCTTCAGCATGCATGTTTTCACGAACTCACCCTCAGAAAATGGCTTGGATCCTAACGCTATCTCATTAGCAATAAGGTAGCTAGCTTTCACTGCTGCATCACTGACCACTCGGCTACGGGTAAAAACAGACTGCTGTTTCTTCAGACCCACTAACAATTCATTTATCTTCTCTATTCTCAGTTGTCCTCGCAAATGGTTGTATTTTTCACCATGATGAGTCTCATAGTGGCGCCGAATATTATATTCCTTGAGCACTGAAACTTGCTGATTACACACCAAGCACACATATTTCCCATTCACTTCTGTGAATAAATATGAATCAGTCCATTTTTCTTGGAAAACTCTGCACTCGGTGTCAACTTTTCTCCTTTTTGACAAAGACATTTTGGTAATGTGGGTAATTTTGACAACGAGCTTAATAACGATAAGGCAAGATCGGCAGATGGCGCATTCTGGGCGCGTTGCTGTCACGTGCTGTTTATTTCAGGATCTCTCGTTATTTCAGTGCGAGCTCTGCTGGACAAATTTGGAATATCTGTTCCTTTAAAAAAAAAAAGTGGACGTCGTCTCGCGGGCCGGATTGAACCATCTGGCGGGCAGGTTCTGGCCCGCGGGCCGTATGATTGACATCCCTGCTCTAACCAATTGTACTATTATGTGTGTTTTTCCGCATTATTTGTAATTTATTTTGTACATAATGTTTCTGCCATCGTCTCTTATAACCAAAAAGAGCTTCTGGATATCAGGACAGCGATTACTCACCTCGTATTGGACGAAGATTTTTTCTTCAACGAGGCGGCCGCGAAGGATATCATACAGACACCCGACAAGGCCCAAATCCCCGTCATTCGCGTGAGGAAGAGACGGAGATATCGTGGACGTAGATCGGGGTGCCTTGTAAGGATCCGACGGCGAGCGAGTAAACTGCCTCTTCCATCAATCCTATTAGCCAACGTTCAATCATTTGAAAATAAATTGGATGACTTAAGATTATGGTTATCCTACCAACGGGACATTAAAAACTGTAATATCTTATGTTTCACCGAGTCGTGGCTGAACGACGACATGGACAACTTACAGCTAGCGGGCTATACGCTACATCGGCAGGATAGAACGGCTGACTCCGGTAAGACAAGGGGTGGCGGTCTGTGTATATTTGTAAACAACAGCTGGTGCACAAAATCAAATACTAAGGAAGTCTCGAGGTTTTGCTCGCCTGAGGTAGAGTATCTTATGATAAGCTGTAGACCACACTATTTACCAAGAGAGTTTTCATCTACAGTGGGGAAAAAAAGTATTTAGTCAGCCACCAATTGTGCAAGTTCTCCCACTTAAAAAGATGAGAGAGGCCTGTAATTTTCATCATAGGTACACGTCAACTATGACAGACAAAATGAGAAAAAAAAATCCAGAAAATCACATTGTAGGATTTTTAATGAATTTATTTGCAAATTATGGTGGAAAATAAGTATTTGGTCACCTACAAACAAGCAAGATTTCTGACTCTTATCCAGAGCGACTTACAGTTAGTGAATACATATATATTTTTTATATATACTGGCCCCCCGTGGGAATCGAACCCACAACCCTGGCGTTGCAAACGCCATGCTCTATCAACTGAGCTAAATCCCTGCCGGCCATTCCCTCCCCTACACTGGACGACGCTGGGCCAATTGTGCGCCGCCCATGAGTCTCCCGGTCGCGGCCGGCTGCGACAGAGCCTGGATTCGAACCAGGATCTCTAGTGGCACAGTTAGCACTGCGATGCAGTGCCTTAGACCACTGCGCCACTCAGGAGCGGATCTTCTTCTCTGCAGATCCTCTCAAGCTCTGTCAGGTTGGATGGGGAGCGTCGCTGCAAAGCTTTTTTCAGGTCTCTCCAGAGATGTTAGATCGGGTTCAAGTCCAGGGAGGGGTAGAAGGATTACTTTATCCTATCCCAGGTATTCCTTAAAGAGGTGGGGTTTCAAATGTCTCCGGAAGGTGGTGAGTGACTCCGCTGTCCTGGCGTCGTGAGGGAGCTTGTTCCACCATTGGGGTGCCAGAGCAGCGAACAGTTTTGACTGGGCTGAGCGGGAACTATGCTTCCACAGAGGAAGGGGAGCCAGCAGGCCAGAGGTGGATGAACGCAATGCCCTCGTTTGGGTGTAGGGACTGATCAGAGCCTGAAGGTACGGAGGTGCCGTTCCCCTCACAGCTCCATAGGCAAGCACCATGGTCTTGTAACAGATGCGAGCTTCAACTGGAAGCCAGTGGAGTGTGCGGAGGAGGGGGGTGACGTGAGAGAACTTGGGAAGGTTGAACACCAGACGGGCTGCGGCATTCTGGATGAGTTGTAGGGGTTTAATGGCACAGGCAGGGAGCCCAGCCATCAGCGAGTTGCAGTAATCCAGACGGGAGATGACAAGTGCCTGGATTAGGACCTGTGCCGCTTCCTGTGTAAGGCAGGGTCGTACTCTGCGAATGTTGTAGAGCATGAACCTACAGGATCGGGTCACCGCCTTGATGTTAGCGGAGAACGACAGGGTATTGTCCAGGGTCACGCCAAGGCTCTTCGCACTCTGGGAGGAGGACACAACGGAGTTGTCAACCGTGATGGCGAGATCATGGAACATCAGACCAGAGAATCTTGTTTCTCATGGTCTGAGAGTCTTTAGGTGCCTTTTGGCAAATTCCAAGCGGATCATCAGACCAGAGAATCTTGTTTCTCATGGTCTGAGAGTCTTTAGGTGCCTTTTGGCAAATTCCAAGCGGGCTGTCATGTGCTTTTTACTGAAGAGTAGCTTCCGTCTGGTCACTCTACCATAATTGATTGGTGGAGTTCTGCAGATATGGTTGTCCTTCTGGAAGGTTCTCCCATCTTCACAGAGGAACTCTGGAGCTCTTTCAGAGTGACCATCGGATTCTTGGTCACCTCCCTGACCAAGGCCCTTCTCCGCCAATTGTTCAGTTTGGCCGGGCGGCCAGCTCTAGGAAGAGTCTTGGTGGTTCCAAACTCCATCCATTTAAGAATGATGGAGGCCACTGTGTTCTTGGGGACCTTCAATGCTGCAGACATTTTTTGGTACCCTTCCCCAGATCTGTGCCTCGACACAGTCCTGTCTCGGAGCTCTACCGACAATTCCTTCGACCTCATGGCTTGGTTTTTGCTCTGACATACACTGTCAACTGTGGGATCTTATATAGACAGGTGTGTACCTTTCCAAATCATGTCCAACCAATTGAATTTACCACAGGTGGACTCCAATCAAGTTGTAGAAACATCTCAAGGATGATCATGTAAATAATACTTATGTAAATAAGATATTTCAGTTTTTTAGCAAAAATTGCTAAATACCTGTTTTCGTCATTATGCTTGTGTGTAGTAGATTGATGAGGAAAAACAAATATTTAATCAATTTTAGAATAAGGCTGTAACGTAACAACAAGTCAAGGAGTCTGAATACTTTCCAAATGCACTGTATATAAAATACGTTGGCAGTATGAGGGTTAATAATTCATTTATATAAACGCATATCAAAATCAAAATTGAGTCCCTGGCGACGTAGTGTTACTGATGGTAGGCTTTGTTACTTTGGTCCCAGCTCTCTGCAGGTCATTCACTAGGTCCCCCCGTGTGGTTCTGGGATTTTTGCTCACCGTTCTTGTGATCATTTTTACCCCACGGGGTGAGATTTTGCGTGGAGCCCCAGATCGAGGGAGATTATCAGTGGTCTTGTATGTCTTCCATTTCCTAATAATTGCTCCCACAGTTGATTTCTTCAAACCAAGCTGCTTACCTATTGCAGATTCAGTCTTCCCAGCCTGGTGCAGGTCTACAATTTTGTTTCTGGTGTCCTTTGACAGCTCTTTGGTCCTGGCCTTAGTGGAGTTTGGAGTGTGACTGTTTGAGGTTGTGGAAAGGTGTATTTTATACTGATAGCAAGTTCAAACAGGTGCCATTAATACAGGTAACGAGTGGAGGACAGAGGAGCCTCTTAAAGAAGAAGTTACAGGTCTGTGAGAGCCAGAAATCTTGCTTGTTTGTAGGTGACCAAATACTTATTTTCCACCATAATTTGCAAATAAATTCATTAAAAATCCTACAATGTGATTTTCTGGATTTTTTTTTCTCAATGATGAGAATTACAGGCTTCTCTCATCTTTTTAAGTGGGAGAACTTGCACAATTGGTGGCTGACTAAATACTTTTTTCCCCCACTGTAGCTAAGATTGGGATAAGTCTGTCCATAATAAAGTGCTGCTCTTCCTTCTTAACAGCACTATCAACAAGGCAGGTCCTACAGGCCCTAGTTTTGTCACACCTGGACTACTGTTCAGTCGTGTGGTCAGGTGCCACAAAAAAGGACTTAAAATTGCAATTGGCTCAGAACAGGGCAGCACGGCTGGCCCTTGGATGTACACAGAGAGCTAATATTAATAATATGCATGTCAATCTCTCCTGGCTCAAAGTGGAGGAGAGATTGACTTCATAACTACTTGTATTTATGAGAGGTATTGACATGTTGAATGCACCGAGCGGTCTGTTTGAACTACTGGCACACAGCCCATGCATACCCCACAAGACATGCCACCAGAGGTCTCTTCACAGTCCCCAAGTCCAGAACAGACTATGGGAGACGCACAGTACTACATAGAGCCATGACTACATGGAACTCTATTCCACATCAAGTAACTGATGAAAGTAGTAAAATTAGATTTAAAAAACAGATTAAAAATACACCTTATGGAACAGTGGGGACTGTGAAGCAACACAAACATAGACACAGACACATGCATACACACACACGATAACATACGCACTATACACACATGTACATATGGATTGTTGTACTGTAGATATGTGGTAGTAGAGTAGGGGCCTGAGGGCACACAGTGTGTTGTGAAATCTGTGAATGTATTGTAATGTTATTAAAAAATTTATGAACTGCCTTAATTTTGCTGGACCCCAGGAAGAGTTGCTGCTGCCTTGGCAGGAACTAATGGGGATCCATAATAAACCCCAGGAAGAGTAGCTGCTGCCTTGGCAGGAACTAATGGGGATCCATAATAAACCCCAGGAAGAGTAGCTGCTGCCTTGGCAGGAACTAATGGGGATCCATAATAAACCCCAGGAAGAGTAGCTGCTGCCTTGGCAGGAACTAATGGGGATCCATAATAAACCCCAGGAAGAGTAGCTGCTGCCTTGGCAGGAACTAATGGGGATCCATCATAAATACAAATAATATCCCATAATGACAAAGTGAAAGCATGTTTTTAGAAATGTTGGCACATTTATTGAAAATGAAATACAGAAATCTCATTTAAATAAGTATTCACACCCCTAAGTCAATACTTTGTAGAAGCACCTTTGGCAGCGATTACAGCTGTGAGTCTTTCTGGGAAAGTCTCTAAGAGCTTTGCACACCTGGATTCTGCAACATTTGCTCATTATTCTTTTCAAAATTCTGCTTTTTTATATCTACCAATAGGAGCCCTTCTTTGCGAGGCATTGAAAAAACCTCATTGGTCTTTGTGGTTGAATCTTTTTTTGAAATTCACTGCTCATCTGAGGGACCTTACATATAATTGTATGTGTGGGGTAGAGATGTGACAGTCATTCAAAAAGAATGTTAAACAATCTTCTTGCACACAGAGTGAGTCCATGCAACTTATAAGTATTCAGACCCTTTAATCAGTACTTTGTTGAAGCACCTTTGGCAGCGATTACAGCCTCCAGTCTACAAGCTTGGCACACCTGTATTTGGGGAGTTTCTCCCATTCTTCTCTGCAGATCCTCTCAAGCTCTGTCAGGTTGGATGGGGAGCGTCACTGCAAGGCTTTTTTCAGGTCTCTCCAGAGATGTTAGATCGGGTTCAAGTCCAGGCTCTGGCTGGGCCACTCAAGGACATTCAGAGACTTGTCCCGAAGCCACTCCTGCGTTGTCTTGGCTGTGTGCTTAGGGTCGTTGTCCTGTTGGAAGGTGAACCTTCGCGCCAGTCTGAGGTCCTGAGCGCTCTGGAGCAGGTTTTCATCAAGGATCTCTCTGTACTTTGCTCCGTTCATCATTCCCTCGATCCTGAATAGTCTCCCAGTCCCTGCCGTTGAAAAACATCCCCACAGCATGATGCTGCCACCACCATGCTTCACCGTAGGGATGGTGCCAGGTTTCCTCCAGACGTGACGCTTGGCATTCAGGCCAAAGAGTTCAATCTTGATTTAATCAGACCAGAGAATCTTGTTTCTCATGGTCTGAGAGTCTTTAGGTGCCTTTTGGCAAATTCCAAGCGGGCTGTCATGTGCCTTTTACTGAGGAGTGGCTTCCGTCTGGCCACTCTACCATAAAGGCCTGATTGGTGGAGTGCTGCAGATATGGTTGTCCTTCTGGAAGGTTCTCCCATCTTCACAGAGGAACTCTGGAGCTCTGTCAGAGTGACCATCGGGTTCTTGGTCACCTCCCTGACCAAGGCCCTTCTCCGCCAATTGTTCAGTTTGGCCGGGCGGCCAGCTCTAGGAAGAGTCTTGGTGGTTCCAAACTCCTTCCATTTAAGAATGATGGAGGGCACTGTGTTCTTGGGGACCTTCAATGCTGCAGACATTTTTTGGTACCCTTCCCCAGATCTGTGCCTCGACACAGTCCTGTCTCGGAGCTCTACGGACAATTCCTTCGACCTCATGGCTTGGTTTTTGCTCTGACATACACTGTCAACTGTGGGATCTTATATAGACAGGTGTGTACCTTTCCAAATCATGTCCAACCAATTGAATTTACCACAGGAGGACTCCAATCAAGTTGTAGAAACATCTCAAGGATGATCAATGGAAACAGGATGCATCTGAGCTCAATATCGAGTCTCATAGCAAAGGGTCTGAATACTTATGTAATAAGATATTTCTGTTTTTTTGTTTTTTGCAAAAATTGCTAAATACCTGTTTTCGTCATTATGCTTGTGTGTAGTAGATTGATGAGGAAAAACAAATATTTAATCAATTTTAGAATAAGGCTGTAACGTAACAACAAGTCAAGGGGTCTGAATACTTTTCAAATGCACTGTATATAAAATACGTTGGTAGTATGAGGGTTAATAATTCATTTATATAAACGCATATCAAAATTGTAATTTTAAAATAACTGCATAATCTGACTGTGTGATTACATAACAGCAATAAGAGCTCATTCCCTGTAAGGTCTTCCCTGTAAGCTCATTCCCTGTAAGGTCTTCCCTGTAAGCTCATTCCTTGTTAGGTCTTCCCTGTCCATGCTGTGAAGCATCGGAGCCAGACATGTTTCCATGTATCTGTCTTCGTAGCTCCGCTATGTGGGCAGGACTGATGCGGCAACACCCTCCTGTTGGAAGACAAGAGATCCTAGTTCAGGGATGGGCAACTTCGATGGGGGCGGGGTTCACATCAAATCTGAACTCATCAGTGGCTCTGCGTAACCACATCCATACCCACACAGGCAGTCAGAGCCGGCTATAGCCTTTTGGGGGCCCTAAGTGAGATTCTGTTGCCATGGGCTAATTGAGTGACTGTCAGCGACTGACATAACAGGATGCTGCTGATGCACAACCACAAAATGGCGCCTTGTGTATTCTACTATTCCAACTCTCAACAGGAAGTTGAGATCCCGACTGAGTTCCTAAAAAACACTGATCTGTAAATTGATGCGAGTTGCCCATCCCTGTCCTAGTTAGTCAATACAAAGTCAAGACAACATTAGATCATCTGTTCTCTTACCTATAAGTGCAGACCCTTGTTTCATCCACTCCAGACTCAGTTCAGCTATTGATGATATTCTATTCTCTGGTTTTCTCCACCTTTAAATGATAAAAAAGGTTAAATCAATACAAGAGATTCACTCAATAATCACTTGAAACAATGGAGTAATCATCATGGAACTGTTGACTGAAGTGAAAAGTTGATATCGCCTCGATATCTTATACTATAGCAGACATCAGTGTGTAGCCAAATGATACAGTATAATACTACAACCTGGATGTGTCAGGTCACAAGCCAAGGTCTTCGTCCCAAATGGCACCCTGTTCCCTATTTAGTGCACTACTTTAGACCAGAGCCCTATGGGCCCGGGGTGCCATGTAGGGAACAGGGTGCCATTTGGGACGCATCCAAGGTGATTTAGTTTCACTCACCCAGAGTATGTATCCCACTCCTCTCCACTGTTGGGGTAGACCACCCAGCTGAGGCCTGGTCTCTTCTGTCTCCTGGCTGAGTCTAGGAGGGGCTTGACCAGGCCTGGAGGACAGCAGTTCACCCCTACAGCCACCAACTGACTGGACCTACTGGCCAACTGGACCGCCTCAGAGAAACGACTGCTGTCAGATATACACTGTCCATCCTGAGGAGAATAGAAGACAGATCACTGTATTCTTACATCCCATATTTATAGAGAATCAGTTTGTCTTTCCTAGATCCCTTGCATCCTCTCTCCTTGCCTATTTCTCAGAACGCTTTGGAAAATAATGTCTAAGGGTAGGAACTTTGGATCGTCTCCTACAATGCAGTTTGAGAAGGAGAGAGGACGCGAGGAATCAAGGAAAGACAAATTGAGAAACAGTCTTCATTACATATAGTTATAGCAAGCATTACCTTACAGGAGAAGGCGAGCCATGCTTTACAATCTGGAAACTCTCTGAGCAGCTCCACCAGAGCTTCTGCCTCCTTCACGCTTGGGATGGTTTCCATGGCAATGAGATCGGCCCCTGCTGCAACTAGGCAGTGGACCTGCGGGCGGTGCCAGGCTTTCAGTTCCTGGAGACACAGAGAGAGAGAGAGACACACATCAGAATGTGGACAAGATCAGGACAAAGCACCAGGTATAAACGGGGCTAGAGACAGAGAGCAGACAGACCATAGGAACACTGGGCTACTATACTGAACAAAAATATAAACCCAACATTTCAACCATTTCACTGAGTTACAGTTCATATAATGAAAACAGTCAATTGAAATACATTTATTAAGCCCTAATCTATGGATTTCACATGACTGGGCAGGGGCGAGCTTAGGAGCCAGGCCCAGCCAACCAGAATGAGTTTTTCCCCACAAAAGGGCTGTATTACAGACAGAAATACTCCACAGTTTCATCAGCTGTCTGGGTGGCTGGTCTCAGATGATCCCACAGGTGAAGAAGCCGGTTGTGGAGGTCCTGGGCTGGCGTGGTGACACGTGGTTACACGTGGTCAGCGGTTGTGAGGCCGGTTGGATGTACTGCCAAATTCTCTAAAACGACGTTGGAGGCGGCTTATAGTAGAGAAATGAACATTCAATTATCTGGCAACAGCTCTGGTGGACATTCCTGCAGTCAGCATGCCAATTGCACGCTCCCTCAAAATTGAGGCATCTGTGGCACTGTGTTGTGTGACAAAACTGCACATTTAAGAGTGGCCTCTGTAAGGTGCACCTGTGTAATGATCATGCTGTTTAATCAGCTTCTTGATATGCCACACCTGTCAGGTGGATGGATTATCTTGGCAAAGGAGAAATGTTCACTAACAGGGATGTAAACACATTTGTGTACAAAGTTTGAGAGAAATAAGCTTTTTGTGCGTATGGAACATTTCTGGGATCTTTTTTTCAGCTCATGAAAAATGGAACCAACACTTTACATGTTGCGTTTATATTTTTGTTCAGTATAGATCATGATAGGTCAACCCCAATGTGTAGTTCTTTCTTGGCATTGTCTGCCTTACCTCAACACTCATCTCCGCAGCGTAAGCGCCAGTGTACTCCGAGCCGTTGTGCAGAAACGCTCCGTAAGGTCCAACAGAGCCTGCCACCAGAGGCACCCTGCGATCTGAGAAAATAAAAAGATACCATGTAATCATGTAATGTATGAGCATTTAACAACTCAGATGTGATCATAGAACTAAGAGCTTCAGAGATACAGGGATCATGTCCAAATTACAGTATCTCTGAGTGCCTCGCTGAGTTGGTAGGTCCTGAGCAGCTTAGCCAATGTTAGCAATGATGATGAAAAAATTACATTAAATCGCAAATTAATAATAATAATAATTGATTGGATTTATATAGCGCTTTTCTACCAACTGAGGTACTCAAAGCGCTTTACATACTAGGGGGAAACTCACCTCACCCACCGCCAATGTTTATTGAGGCCTGGAATGCAATAGTTTCAACAGTTGTGTGTACAACATGAAGTTTGTAATTAGGCTGCGTGTCTGTGTCTTGCTGCGTTCCACCTCTGGGCAGCGAAACGTTTTAGGTATCCGGACCGGTGAAAAGAGTAGTTCGTCTCGCCTGGTGCCATAGTTATGCCATATATGCTGATATCGTGGCGAGAGTAAATACAGTGAGGGAAAAAAGTATTTGATCCCCTGCTGATTTTGTACGTTTGCCCACTGACAAAGAAATAATCAGTCTATAATTTTAATGGTAGGTTTATTTGAACAGTGAGAGACAGAAAAACAACAACAAAATCCAGAAAAACGCATGTCAAAAATGTTATAAATTGATTTGCATTTTAATGAGGGAAATAAGTATTTGACCCCCTCTCAATCAGAAAGATTTCTGGCTTCCAGGTGTCTTTTATACAGGTAACGAGCTGAGATTAGGAGCACACTCTTAAAGGGAGTGCTCCTAATCTCAGGTTGTTACCTGTATAAAAGACACCTGTCCACAGAAGCAATCAATCAATCAGATTCCAAACTCTCCACCATGGCCAAGACCAAAGAGCTCTCCAAGGATGTCAGGGACAAGATTGTAGACCTACACAAGGCTGGAATTGTTTTGTTGTTATTCTGTCTCTCACTGTTCAAATAAACCTACCATTAAAATTATAGACTGATCATTTCTTTGTCAGTGGGCAAACGTACAAAATCAGCAGGGGATCAAATACTTTTTTCCCTCACTGTAGCTGCATGTAACTCAGCAGCTAAGAAGAACAGGACATAACCAGACCGTCTATTTGTGTCGTGCTCATGTTGGCGATAATGACAAAGTTTTACCAACATGTCGATAATGTATTTTGAGTAAAACATGTTAAATAGCTGCATGTAGCTTACTCCCCTCCTGAAAAAATTACATGAAATCGCACGTATGCTTAATGAGGCACGGAATGCAATAGTTAGAACAGTTTTGTACAACATTACGTTTGTAGGCTACACCAGTGACCAGACAAAATGTGTAGAATTGCAGGAAATGAACTAAAAAAAAAAAAAACTATTCTCAGCTGTCAAATAATAATAATAATAATAATAATAATATGCCATTTAGCAGACGCTTTTATCCAAAGCGACTTACAGTCATGTGTGCATAAATTTTTACGTATGGGTGGTCCCGGGGATCGAACCCACTACCCTGGCGTTACAAGCGCCATGCTCTACCAATTGAGCTACAGAGGACCACAATGGCCACTGTTGATGTGTGGCTCACAACGTGGGGGTGGAGGGGGAGGGGCAACAACTTTGCTTAGGGCCCCCAAAAGGCTAGAGCTGGCTCAGACTACCTGTGTGGGTATGGATGTGGGTATGCAGAGCCGTGAGCCACTGCGCCCCCCCATGATGAGTTTAGATTTGTTGTTTCCCCCCCACCCAAAGTCAAAGTTTCCCATCCCTGGTCTAGAATGTAGTCGGGCAGGGACTCCACCAGTAATTTACAGTGCCCACTCACCTGAGGGAGGCTGGTCAGTCATAAAGTGTTTGACAGTCTCTCTGGCCAGAGTCACTCCTGACATGATCAGTTGGTTGGCCTGTTCAGGGGTGATGTCCAGGTGCCTGGTGAAGCCCTCAACGCTAGCCTGGTACGTGGCTGTCGTTATCACATCGGCACCAGCACACAGGAACCTAGGAAGAGAGACACAGAGCCACATCTGTAATGCTTTGCAACAGTAAAGGCGGAACTAGAACAACAATCAACAATAGTGTATGTTAAACAACTCACCTGTAATGAGCATCTTTAATAGCCTGTGGGTTAGTATGTAGCAGCCTTGCACTCCATAAAGGATCTCCCTGTACCCACGCAAAACATTATAGTCAAATATACATGACGTCAAGTACAGGGGTATATTCATTACGGCGATTCTGTTGCAAACCTGCATTTGTCCAACAGAGTCTCTCGTTTTAGTTGCTGTTTGGAATAATGTAATGATTACACCCCAGCTCTCTTTGGAATTACTCATAAAATGCAATTTGATGTACTTCACCTGTAATTTACAACCTGTTGATTCCAGTTCTGTTGCCAGTCCACCATCTAAAATAAGTGGACCCAGACCAACATCCATTAAAGGTTTTAGAATATCTGTTTTGTCCATGGTCACTTACTGGTAGCCTATCTCACTCAGCCATTTATCTTTGACTAAATCAAAGTACTAAGCCGGTGCTGCACCTTGTCCTCTTCGGGTAAAATAAAGACTGGTTATTTATTGACATATTTAACTAACCCCATCTCTGACTAAATCAAAACAGAAGAAGTCAACCCACGTTGCGCAATAGGGTCATAGTTGTACTTCCGGAAACAACATTATTATTTTTTTGGATTCGTTGCTAATTCTGTGGAAATTCGCCTGCTATATTTATGTACAGCGTGCAAGTTATTTATTTGTTGTTGTAAAATCACTTTTGCCGGTGCTAAACGGTTTGTGCGCATGTTGCTATGGTGATAGGTTGTAAAAACGAAGCTAACTAGCTAACTGCTAACCAAACGAACTGCTACTATAGCCACACGAACTGTCATCATCGGGGATCTCTAGCTAAAATAATGGTAAGATAAAGCATCCCAAGCTACCCTCGTGGTGTCATAAATGTAGGTGCTACCAAAGCATTAAAAGACATGCTATAACTTTTTGAAATGGCATACGATACGATGACATTTAGGTAGCAGTGTAACCGTCGTTAGCGAACTTTGGCTAGCAAAGCTAGCTATCGTTAGTGCAATGACTGTGTGTGTATACATATAATAATATGAATGCGTTAGCTAGCTAACCAACGTAGTTAGCTAGACAGTCACTCATGCAGTTGTTGAAGATGCAGGCAGAAACAAGATATGGTTGTAATTCTAACATCATACAACCATGCGAAGTTATTTAGTCAGTTGAAATACTTTACACAAAGAATACATTTTTGCTTGCTAACATTAGGCTCCCCAGGCCATTGTGGTAAATTAGTTCCCGTATTGTCTACCGGCAGATGGCGTAATTTCCCCACAATGCGCTGTCCAGGTTGTGTGATGGACAGAAAATCTGTCAGAGCAGAAGAATGTTTGGCCTATATCTCTATCTAACGTCCCACAGTGCTATTCATCATTTATAGCTGCTATTCATCATTTATAGCTGCTATTCATCATTTATAGCTGCTATGAAGGCATTTATAGCTGCTATGAAGGCATTTGTGGGGAGAGGATGGTGACAGAGTTTTCCCCAACACTTACATGTATATCGTTTTGTTTTTCATATCATTGGCCATGCGCTTGTCTCATCCGTCCATGACATGTCCAACTAGGAGACCAGCACAGTAAGTATGACGGTTAAGTAACCAGAATTTGGCTTGCCTGCCAAGCAATCAGTTGACCAACTATGAGTGTGATAATGCACTGACTGTATGTGATGTGCATTGTAGACTAGCTTAGAGGTACATGGGCAAATTCGGCACAATAAATAAGCTGCAGCTCAATGGGTGTAATTTATGTTGACAATTTCGATACCTTTTGGAAACACAACACATTTTATAATGAGGATGGGATCCACCCAAATCATTTGGGTTCCTGGATCCTTTCACAGTGGTCCTCTGTAGCTCAGCTGGTAGAGCACGGCGCTTGTAACGCCAGGGTAGTGGGTTCGATCCCCGGGACCACCCATACACAAAAACAAAATGTATGCACCCATGACTGTAAGTCGCTTTGGATAAAAGCGTCTGCTAAATGGCATATTATTATTATTATTATTATTATTATTATAAGGCTGCGTTGAGACAATGACTTAACAACGACCCAAGCCCAGCTCAGCTAATCCCTACAATTGTGACGCATAGTTGTCGAAACGTTTCAGAAAATGTACATTACACCAGGGCCGTCGGTAGACACAATATAAGAAACCTAATTTATACTGTTAGCACTGAGGCGTGTGCACCCAAGGAGGAAGTCCACTGTGTGCAGCTCACCCTTCACTAACATAAAGAACATGAGCACATCTACTGCCGCTAAGCTTCCCAGTAAAGCAATAAAAACAAGTAAGCGTCCCAGAAGAAAAGTGCTCAAAATAGCCCACGTTAACATGTGTAGCTTAAGAAACCAGGTTCATGAAATCAATAATTTGCTAGTAACAGATGACATTCATATTCTGACTATCTCTGCAACTCACTTAGATAATACCTTTGATGATACAGTGGTAGCAATACAAGGTTATATCATTTACAGAAATATAGAAATGCCAACGGTGGAGGTGTTGCTGTTTATATTCAGAACCACATTCCTGTAAAGCTTAGAGAGGATCTCATGTTAAATACTGTTGAAGTAATATGGCTACAGGTTCATCTGCCTCACCTAAAGCCCATTCTGGTGGGAAGCTGCTATAGACCACCAAGTGCTAACAGTCAGTATCTGGATAACGTGTGACATGCTTGATAATGTATGTGATATCAATGGAGAGGTATACTTTCTGTGTGATTTACAGTGGCTTGCGAAAGTATTCACCCCCCTTGGCATTTTTCCTATTTTGTTGCCTTACAACCTGGAATTAAAATTGATTTTTGGGGGGTTTGTATCATTTGATTTATACAACATGCCTACCACTTTGAAGATATTTTTGATTGTGAAACAAACAAGAAATAAGACAACAAAACAGAACTTGAGCGTGCATAACTATTCACCCCCCCAAAGTCAATACTTTGTAGAGCCACTTTTTGCAGCAATTACAGCTGCAAGTCTCTTGGGGTATGTCTCTATAGCTCATTTGGTAGAGCATGGCGCTTGCAATGCCAGGGTTGTGGGTTCGTTTCCCATGGGGGGCCAGTATGAAAATGTATGCACTCACTAACTGTTAGTTGCTCTGGATAAGAGCGTCTGCTAAATGACTAAAATGTAAATGTATAAGCTTGGCACATCTAGCCACTGGGATTTTTGCCCATTCTTCAAGGCAAAACTGCTCCAGCTCCTTCAAGTTGGATGGGTTCCGCTGGTGTACAGTAATCTTTAAGTCATACCACAGATTCTCAATTGGATTGAGGTCTGGGCGTTGACTAAGCCATTCCAATACATTTAAATGTTTCCCCTTAAACCACTCAAGTGTTACTTTAGCAGTATGCTTAGGGTCATTGTCCTGCTGGAAGGTGAACCTCCGTCCCAGTCTCAAATCTCTGGAAGACTGAAACAGGTTTCCCTCAAGAATTTCCCTGTATTTAGCGCCATCCATCAGTCCTTCAATTCTGACCAGTTTCCCAGTCCCTGCCGATGAAAAACATCCCCACAGCATGATGCTGCCACCACCATGCTTCACTGTGGGGATGGTGTTCTCAGGGTGATGAGAGGTGTTGGGTTTGCACCAGACATAGCGTTTTCCTTGATGGCCAGAAAGCTAAATTTTATGCTCATCTGACCAGAGTACCTTCTTCCATATGTTTGGGGAGTCTCCCACATGCCTTTTGGCGAACACCAAATGTGTTGTTGCTTATTTTTTTCTTTAAACAATGGCTTTTTTTCTGGCCACTCTTCCATAAAGCCCAGCTCTGTGGAGTGTACGGCTTAAAGTGGTCCTATGGACATATACTCCAATCTCCGCTGTGGAGCTTTGCAGCTCCTTCAGGGTTATCTTTGGTCTCTTTGTTGCCTCTCTGATTAATGCCCTCCTTGCCTGGTCTGTGAGTTTTGGTGGGCGGCCCTCTCTTGGCAGGTTTGTTGTGGTACCATATTCGTTCCATTTTTTAATAATAGATTTAATGGTGCTCCGTGGGATGTTCAAAGTTTCTGATATTTTTTTATAAACCCGACCCTGATCTGTACTTCTCCACAACTTTGTCCCTGACCTGTTTTGAGAGCTCCTTGGTCTTCATGGTGCTGCTTGCTTGGTGGTGCCCCTTGCTTAGTGGTGTTGCAGACTCTGGGGCCTTTCAGAACAGGTGTATATATACTGAGATGATGTGACAGATCATGTGACACTTAGATTGCACACAGGTGGATTTTATTTAACTAATTATGTGACTTCTGAAGGTAATTGGTTGCACCAGATCTTATTTAGGGACTTCATAGCAAAGGGGGTGAATACATATGCACGCACCACTTTTCCGTTAATAATTTTTTTCATTCCACTTCACCAATTTGGACTATTTTGTGTATGTCCATTACATGAAATGCAAATAAAATCCATTTAAATTACAGGTTGTAATGCAACAAAATAGGAAAAACAATAAGGTTATCAATCAACCTACCAGGGTAGTTACAAACAGCACAGGAATTAAATCATCAACATGTATTGATCATACCTTTACTAATGCTGCAGAGATTTGTTTGAAAGCAGTATCCAAATCCATTGGATGTAGTGATCACAATATAGTAGCCATATCTAGGAAAACTAAAGTTGTTTATAAGAGGTCATACAATACGTTTTGTAGTGATTCCTATGTTGTTGATGTAAATAATATATGTTGGTCCGTAGTGTGTAATGAGGAGCAAACAGACACTGCACTTGACACATTTATGAAATGTCTTATTCCAGTTACTAATAAGCCTGCACCCATTAAGAAAATGACTGTAAAAACGGTTAAATCCCTGTGGATTGATGAGGAATTGAAAAATGGTATGTTTGAGAGGGATGAGGCAAAAGGAATGGCAAATAAGTCTGGCTGCACAACCGATTGGCAAACGTACTGCAAATTGAGAAATAATGTGATTAAACTGAATAAAAAGAAGAAGAAACTACACAATGAAACAAAGATAAATTACATAAAGAATGATTGGAGCACCTTAAATGACATTTTGGGAAAAAAGGCAAACTCAGCTCCATCATTCATTGAATCAGATGGCTCATTCATCACAAAACCAACTGATATTGCCAACTACTTTAATTCTTTTTTCATTGGCAAGATTAGCAAACTTAGGCATGACATGCCAGCAACAACCGCTGACACTACACATCCAAGTATATCTGACCAAATTATGAAAGACAAACGTTTTAATTTTGAATTCCGTAAAGTGAGTGTGGAAGAGGTGAAAAAATTATTGTTGTCTATCAACAATGACAAGCCACCGGGGTCTGACAACTTGGATGGAAAATTACTGAGGATAATAGCGGACGATATTGCCACTCCTATTTGCCATATTTTCAATCTAAGCCTACTAGAATGTGTGCGCCCCCAGGCCTGGAGGGAAGCAAAAGTCATTCCGCTAACTAAGCACCCTTTACTGGCTCAAATAGCCGACCAATCAGCCTGTTACCAACCCTTAGTAAACTGTTGGAAAAAATGGTGTTTGACCAGATACAATGCTATTTTATA